TACAATTTTGAATCCCTGCCTCCAATGAATGTTTCCGACCAAATATGATCGATATCCATGGCATAGTTCTACAGAAGTAGTCTTTTATAGCAATATAGTCAAATTGCCCCCTTTCGGCCCCACCATTTGTACAATTTTGAATCCCCACCACCTAGGGATGCTTCCAGTCAAATATGGTTGATATCTATCTTTTAGGTCCAGAGAAGAGGTCGCTTAAAGCAATATAGTCAAATGACCCTTTTTGGCCCCGCCCCTCAGCCACACCATTTGTACAATTTTGAATCCCTGCCCCCGATGAATGCTTTTGATAAAATATGATTGATATCCAGTGCATAGTTCTACAGCAGAAGTCGTTTTTAGCAATATAGCCAATTGTCCCCTTTTGGCCCCGCCCCTCAGCCCCCTGGCCCCTCAGCCCAATCATTTGTACAATTTGGAATCTCCAACACCTAGGGATGCTTCCAGTCAAATATGGTTGATATTCATCTTTTAGTTCCAGAGGAGAAGTCGCTTAAAGCAATATAGCCAAATTGCCCCCTTTTTGCCCCGCCCCTCAGCCCCCTGGGGGGTCAGCCCCACCATTTGTACAATTTTGAATCCCCACCGCGTATGGATGCTTCCAGTCAAATTTAGCTAAATTCCAATCAGTGGTTAAGAAGAAGAACAATCTAATTAAAATTATATCTTCACATCGCTCCCGTTTACTGATATCAGTAAACGGGAGCGATGTGAAGATATAATTTTAATAAGATTGGAAGAAGAAGTCGTTTAAAGAAATTGTTGATGGACGGACGCCACGGTATGGCATAAGCTCACCTTGGTTCTTCGGACCCGGTGAGCTAAAAAGAAATATTTGTCAGCATTTCCTACAAATACCAGACAGTAATGTGCCATTACAGTCAGTACCGTCATTGTTCTGTGAATGAAAAGGTCTTAAGGGTGGCAGAATTATTTCCCTTTGTCCATGTAATCAGCATCTGTATCGGTAGTGTTAAATAGAACTCTTCTAGGCAACAAGGTGGAAATGTAGATTTCACGTGCAAGACACACACCATGCGGTCGGCCACTATACGAGCTATTCTTCTTTTCTGAAAGTTCGTGATACCATAATTGCCACGCTTTAAATGAGGCAGTCTACGGGTTTTCTGTGTATCGCCCAAGGCCGAATTGTGCAGGCACAAACCTTTATTTAAGAGTACATGATGACTTCAAATTAAATACATAATGTATATCAGAAACCCAGTAAAAACGACAAACGTCGACGAAATTTTGGAGGATTTTGAAGGGGTTAATTATAAGCATGTTTCAATGTCGATTTCTGGGGGTTTTACAGTCGGATAATATGAACATTTAAATGTGAAATAGCCTGTGATATGGTGTATCAAATTGGGTACTAATCATGGCCGAAAAACGGACGAAATGTCACTGCGAGTTTAGCGTTCTATTTTCGGAAACAAATCACTTAAAATCAACACTTTTTTTGAAAATGAATCAACATGGGTTGTCTTTGTCAAGAACCAAGAAACATTCCAGATACAAGATCTGAATTTTAAAATATCACCGAAAAGCTCACAATTGTACCAATTGTGATACCGTGACGTTATACATGTAGCCGCAAAATAATATAGACCTACATATATACCTTGATCTGTAGATGACTTTACTGTATCGAATGTCTATGACGTTTATCTGTGCATTGCAGTATATTGTTTTTCACTCATCGTTCCAAGCTACATCAAACCCATGCATTAATTTATATTGCAGTTGACAGACATATAAGGGGTTCATAAATGACCTGTCAGTAGTACCATCTGTCTGTGGTATGGAGACCATACGCATGAAAATTTCTAAAACGATGTATGAATGACCCCATCTGTTGTTTGCTACTTCTGCTCCTGTAAATAACATAATATTAAATGAATATGAAATATTCTCCTGCAGCATTTACTTCCATTAATACACTAAAAAAAATATATTTCCTCTCTAGATTATGCCAGTGCTGTTGGTTTCACAACCATGTTAGCCTCCGGTGTATCTGTTAATATCCCCGGGGTGCGCATGAGTCAACAAAATGCTGAAAAGACGTGTCACTTTTGGAACGCCACACTCTTGAATGTCGTCCTCTCCTCACAGGTGTCCGCACTGCAGATTATTGTTGCAGGGAATCCGTCTCTTGGTAGCTATCAAAATATGTCATAACCATGAATAATAACAAAAGTTTCTACATAATCCATATCTAAGTCTCATTCCAAACCTTGGGAAACCAAGACTAATAAATTTCTCCAAGATTCAAGATCTTCGGTTGTTTTTTTCTTTTAATTCTTACAATATTAGTGTATGTGCCATGTTATAGTATCTTGTTGGGAACAAATAACATTTATTTCCATTAGCTTATGAAGTTAACGTCACACAACAATTCTATGCAACGGAATAGTTGCTTTGTGGCGTTCGCATGCATGTCCATAATACTTATACATCTTATCGTAATAAAGTACTGAGTTTTACAACTTGTCATTTACAAACTGTTCATGTATTCATAATGTTACTCTAGAAATTCTTCATGTAGTAACCGTTTTAAAACTGATTAACGACGGTTTCCTGTGCCGATAACAGTTGCACTAGCAGTTTTTATAATCTGTTTTTGCTAGTAGCTTATCATGGACGTAGAAATGTGTTTATTCTTTAGGTTTTGAACAACATTAATGGCTAGTTACGTATCTAAAACCAATTAATTTCCTTGTCTTTGCAGCAACTGAACCAGGTCTTTACGTTGGTGGATCTAAGGCAGGAAGTCGATACGTGTATCAGAGTGGGAGAGAAGTACCAAGCGAACACTGGCATTCCGTTGAACCTGACCTCCGATTCCAGTGTGTGATTCTAACAACGTCCGGAAGACTCGCTACCAGAAATTGCTCAGATTCATTATATTTCATTTGCAGTCTTTTATGAACTTGTTTCGTAACAATGCCATGGAGCAATGTAGTATGCGCATATTAAGGTATACATACACAATAATGTACGTGTTTTGAGGAAACTATATTAGGCTGCAATATATACGCGAATCGGCAAGATTTGTTAATTCGTCAACCAGAAGAGTTCTTTGAAAAAGAATAATCGCGTATTTTATACTGAAACTTTGTACTGGTCTTGTTTCAAATAATATCATGTTTACTTGTCATTTCCCTTACGGCATTATTTTATCCTATTCATTAAATATAAACGTCATTGATAAACAATATACAGTAGTTGTCAGTATCTTTCTTATACTTTGTTTTCATTAAAATAACACGTATCTACATGTACGACGGGAAGGATCGGGCAGGCGTATCATATGATTCAGATTCAGATTTGTATTTCTCTCAGACATACAAACAATGTAACAAGAGGTCAATATGTATCATGTTCATATATACATGGCGGATAACAAAGGCATAAAGGCTACAAACTAATTACGTACATTCGATAGCTTTTCAAGTTTTTCTAGAAATTTGCTAACATTTTGAGGCTAGGGTAAGTATAGTTGTAATTTGGAATAAATAGTTGTCTTATTTGTTTAACAGATACATGTTCGCACTTAAACAGATAATGATATTCATCACCAATTTCATTGAAACATAGATTACAAGTTCTGTTTTCTTTGGGTATTCCAATCCATCTTCCAGTTTCTATAGGTAAGTGGATATTTGAAGTTCTAAACTTAACAATAAATTGTCTTTTTGGGCTTTAGTTGCACAAGGTAATTTTCAAGTTCAAAATTTGTTTTAAAATTGGAATAGGTAGATACTCTTGAAGAGCTCTCGATATCGTTAAACCATTTTTGGATGAAATGGTCTTGTAATCTTTGTTTCACAACAAGTTTCAAATAATCTCTATTAAACGTACATGTTTTCTGATATGCTCAGATAAAATTAAAACCTGTTTCTATACATATATCCTGAACATTCTTTAACCATTTGAACTCCATTTATTAATTTCATTTGATTGTAAGTTAAATATTAAGTTATACATAGTGCTTGACAGACTATTGCTAGTTATCAATTTATACCAAAATATAAATACTCTGGTTTTAACTTCAACATATAAAGGGAATCTCCCGATCTCTCCATAACCATGTAGTTTGGCGTGAAGAGCCATACAGTGTACTTCGATATCTCTAATATGAATACAGTAGTAGTACGATAGTATGATCTTATATCAGCACGTGATCTGAACAAATGAATGTTTTTATTTGTGTAATACTTGCATCGGAAATAAAGACGTAAATAAAGACGTAAATGAGGCTGACCGAAAGGTATAATTTATGAAATTTTCAAGGTAAGCCGCCCCTTTTTCAAAACACATATATATTAAACAATTACATACATAGAGCTAGAAGGAAAATAACGCTCAACTGAAATATAACAATAGTGTTTTAACTTATGCCTTTGGCTAGCTGTAACTATTTATATCACAGAATTTAACCATTGATAGTATGTAAAAGGAAATTGTAGAGACTACAAACGTGTATAGACATTTCTATTGTACGCACGGCATTCTTCCTTACAGCATCACCTAGTTGTAAATATCTGTCTACGAGTCTTTAAGACTATTTCCTCAGATGCTGACTAGAATGGCTACATCTTAATGCCAAGAAATCACCTCTTGGAATCTATAGTTCATTAACGGAAGAAACATACACCCATTGTGTGAACATTTAAAAGGAATGTTGAACTTTTTATAATGTCGAAGTTAAAAATGTTATAAAAAGCAAGAACTTACTTGTTACCGGGGCGCAATATATTAATTGTGATCATCAGTTAAAAAAAGCATAGTATCACGTAAGCTGAAGTATTTTTTAGCGAGGATTCATGATAGTTTTGCCGTGCGTGCTGTATACTCGTCTCGTTTTCTTTGTTTTTTCACATTTTTTCTTTAATCAAAATTTTGTTCAGGTAGTTTTTGTGTGCAGATGATATATTTTCTGTTCAAACGATCAAAATTAAAACAGAGGTAGCCCACTCTTCTGGAAAAAAAGTTTTTTTTATTTTAACAGATTTTCAATCGGCAGATTGATAAGAAAACATATAATTGATGTATAGTCTATATATTTATATAGCTTGAATGTCTAAATTTATATATTGATTTTAATGTATTATACCGACATTGCATCTCTACGCTAGACTCTTCTGTCAGTTATCTATTGGAGATTCAAAGTCTAAATTGCACACAGAAAAAATTAATCTTCAACAATGTATACAATTAATAAATTCTAAGAGAGACAACATTAAACAGAAAGTTTCTGAAGAGTCCAGATACGTACCTTTCTTGCAAAAACATGTAAGTAGTACATTATGAATATAAGTAAATAAAAAAGTAGCACATTGGTAACAAATGATCTGAGATATGTTTCCTTTGCATATTGCACTTTTAGTAACACACATTTAAAGCAGTCAAATATGATAATAAACAAAGGGAAAAACAATCAATATTTGAGGTTTGTCTAGTTTCATGTCGTTTTATGACACTGACATGGCCCACTGCTACAACCATGTGTCAAGGTTGTAAATGATGAGTATACAATGTACATACTTATAAGACAATGACTATGGTTTATAATTTATCTTTATATAAAATATTTTCATTTTCATTTTAAGATATCTTAGTTGTGGTTTCATTCTTTTACACATGTCAAAACGATTTGAATAGACAGTAATTCAAGACTGCAGATAGAAGTTAAATTTTCATAATATTATCTATCAAAATAAAAGATGTACAAAATCCTTAAAATAAAAGACACCAGAGAAACATTGTTTTACACATTACTCCCTTTTACTTTGTATTTTATACTAACACCCATAACCAAGTATGTTTTACCCCACATATATACAAGCTACAGTACCCACATTCTTTATAAAACCTCATAGTCATCTTATGCTTTATCCACTTGCTTTAATATTATTGGGTAAGTATTAAAATACAAACCATTAGTAAATATATTTGTAACTTCTGAAAATATCAAGAGAGCCAGTTAGTGCAGTAACGTCTTTCTGTACTTGCAGTATTTGCTACATTTTCCGTTACATCATAAAACAGATATCTTATCAACGTAACATTCACAGCATATTGTAAGGTATACCAAATATAATTCTATGGAATGTGTCATTATGATTGTGGGAATAACTTACAGAAAATCCTACGAGTCTTTAAGACTATTTCCTCAGATGCTGACTAGAATGGCTACATCTTAATGCCAAGAAATCCCCCTTGGAATCTATAGTTCATTAACGGAAGAAACCTACACCTATTGTGTGAACATTTAAAAGGAATGATGAACTTTTTATAATGTCGAAGTTAAAAATGTTATAAAAAGCAAGAACTTACTTGTTACCGGTGCGCAATATATTAATTGTGATCATCAGTTAAAAAAAGCATAGTATCACGTAAGCTTAAGTATTTTTGCGAGGATTCATGATAGTTTTGCCGTGCGTGCTGTATACTGGTCTCGTTTTCTTTGTCTTTTCACATTTGTTTCTTTAATCAAAATTTTGTTCAGGTTGTTTTTGTGTGCAGATGATATATTTTTTATTCAATGGAACTATTGAGCTGTTTGTAAAACGATCAAAATTAAAACAGAGGTAGCCCACTCTTCCGGGGAAAAGTTTTTTTTAATTTTAACAGATTTTCAATAGGCAGATTGATAAGAAAATATATCATTGATGTATAGTCTATATATTTATACAGCATTAATGTCTAAATTTATATATTGATTTTAATGTATTATACCGACATTGCATCTCAACGCTAGATTCTTCTGTCAGTTATCTATTGGAGATTCAAAGTCTAAATGGCACACAGAAAAAAAAAAAAGTCTTCAAAAATGTATACAATTAATAAATTCTAAGAGAGACAATATAAAACAGAAAGTTTCTGAAGAGTCCCAGATACCTTTCTTGCAAAAACATGTAATAGTACACTATGAATGAAAAGAATACAAGCTAATAAAAAAGTAGCACATTGGTAACATATTATCTGAGATATGTTTCCTTTGCATATTGCACTTTTAGTATCACACATTTAAAGCAGTCAAATATGATACATGCTTATAAGACAATGACTATGGTATATAATTTATAAAATATTTTCATTTTAAGTTATCTTAGTTGCGGTTTCATTCTTTTACACATGTCAAAACGATTTGAATAGACAGTAATTCAAGACTGCAGAGATGAGTTTAAGATTCATAATATTATCTATCAAAATAAAAGATGTACACAATCATTAAAATAAGACACCAGAGAAACATTGTTTTACACATTACTCCCTATATACTTTGTATTTTATACTAACACCCATAACCAAGTATGTTTTACCCCACAGATATACAAGCTACAGTACCCACATTCTATATAAAACCTCATAGTCATCTTATACTTTATCAATTTGCTTTAATTTATGTTATTTTTGTGATTAAGTATTAAAATACAAACAAGTAAATATATTTGTAACTTTTGAAAATATCGAGAGAGCCAGTTACGTCTTTCTGTACTTGCAGTATTTGCTACATTTTCCGTTACATCATAAAATAGATATCTTATCAACGTTACATTGACAGCATATTGTAAGGTATGTCATCAAATATAATTCTATGGAATGTGTCATTATGATTGTGGGAATAACTTACAGCAAGTGTTCATTCACTTGTTTACCTTTATAAGGCACATAAAACCTCTCCACCATAGATAATGTTCTGAAGCACAGTGAACAAAACAAGCTATCAGGTCATCACTAATCACTGTTAACCACTTTTAATATAGTTACAAATTGTGTTATTTCTGGGAAGGAAGCTGCACACTATCAGTACAAAGAAAAAGGATATGAATTCAATTATTAAGCTTCATTATTATGCATTTTTTGGTCCCAACATATAATAGCCCAATGATGTACTAGTGATAATATTATATGAGCAATACTTTATATTAAGCATTTTAACTCATGTAACATTGGTACATATCAACTCTTGATTGGTTGCAAGTTTAAAATAGCAATGCAGTTTTTCTGTGTGGATATAGGATGGATCTACACAGCTAAAGGGGTGTCCGGGTTTGCCAAATCAACCCATACAAGTAATTAATTTTCAGAGTATTCGCTTTCAGGCAGATTTTCAAAAGAAAAACCTCTACCAGATGAACCTCTTTTTTATAGTAAATATTAATAATTTTTAGTAAATATTAATTAATTTCTTGCGTCATAACATAAAACCAACTAGCGCTGGCGTCAGGCTATTGGAATTTTATGTACATACCTGGGTGGTACATTATGTATCTATGTAGGGTTCAGAACTTCCTTAATACTGGATAATTACCATAATATTTTACATAACTATCAAATAGTAAAATACTGCTGAAAATAAATGAGGACTTGTGTTTAATTTGATAATGTATTGACATTGGTGGTTTCAAGCGACGCTTTTGTCAACTTATTCTCTTTAATGATTAATTCAATTTTTATTGGGGTTGGGGGAGGGTGGGGATTGATTTTTTAGTATGCAGATAATTTCCCATAGACCTATAGCATGAGTTAAACTCTGTAACCTTCATAGCAAAAACATCTCGGCAAGCAATTAATTATTTGCACTGTTGAACAGAGCAAAAAGGATCAGCAAAAGATTTGAATTGCAAATTTCCAGGATAAATGTAATCAGCTGAGCTATTGTTTTATATCAATAATCCAGTGGTTTTGTTTTGTACAAGGAGTGTACTCCTATCATTTCATAAAATCAAATAAATAAAGTTTTTTTTGTGACAGTATCCAAAACACCTACTTCATTGCATTTTAGATAATAAATATAATTTAATCCAACCAGGAGACCCAAGCACCATTATTTAATATTGGGTTGCCTTTGGGGTCCTCTGGTTTGTTTGCAGGGGGGACCATGGTGGAGAGATAGTGATCGAGCCTGTCAGTTAGTGTACTGACAACACCTTGGTTTGTAGCAGCGATATTGTTATACTCGCATGGATCAGATGGAATATGGTAAAGACAGGCACTTTGGCGGGGGTCACAGTTCGTGCTAGCATTAGCTGGCTTCGGACCACAGTTGACCTTAACAGCTGAGCCAAAGGTCACGTTCATTTGTTTCCTCACTGCTGTGAGTCTTCTGTCAGAAGTTTCTGTCAACTCCTTAAAAAGGGCATTTTTTGCAGCAGGGTTGTCGTAGTAGAGTCTGGAGCTGTCCTCCGTCACCTGGTACGGTGGATACCAGCCGTCCCAATTCATGTTCACCCCTCCAACCAACAGCTTGTACTCACCTACACGAATGGCCCCACTTCTTCTCCCTGGAGAAATATTGTGTAATAACTCTTTCCTGACTGGTTTACCATTTGAGGATAGCATGTTCCACATGTCAAATCCGTCAGTTCCACCAAGATCACTTGGGTTGCCTCCAGCAGCCGAATAAAACGTCGGCAGCCAATCACAAACATGTAACAGCTGTTCAGATACATATCCTGACTTCTGAAGTATCGGGCTGTGGACAAATCCTACACCCCTAACACCTCCCTCCCAAAGGGTGGCCTTTACTCCTCTACAACAATAGAAAACAGCTTCATTAAGGCGATATCATAACTATATTATATGTATGTGATATAATACAACAAACAGATTGGTATTTACAGAAATTACTGCATAAATAAAATACCATTGGTGAAGTTTGTGTCAGTTTTTAATGACAGATTGTCTGCATGGGGTTTCATTATGTATTTTACTTATCTGATGCTCAATGGCTTTTAAAAAATAAAATTTGCTTTTGAGACTTACACACACTGACATACACTTTGCAAGGTAGCTGATTTTAATACATATACTCGCTATCTCTATCCTATATTAAAGAAAAAAATAGAATTTTGTGGATTTAAGCTGTAAAATTTATTGCTTAAAAGAAAGTAATCTTATTGAAGATATGTCTGTTTTGTGTCTTCTACATAATTACTGGTACCAACATCATTGGGAAAAAAATGCAAAAAATGATTTATATAATTTAATTTGTTTTCAGTTGCTCTTAAAGGATACGATATATTACTTGCTTACAATGAAAGCATTTTTTAACGAAGACGAATTACACAGAATAATGCAAAGTTCATTTTCTAAAGTTTTATCTTTAATAATTGATTAATGAAAAACATTGCACAATACAAGAAAAACATCGAACAAGAGACCTATGGGTCTGTATATTACATATGTTTTCAATATACTGAATATACTGAAATGCTATTCTCAACCAACCAGGAAGCTATATTTATCGAGCTCATTTTTTATTTCTGATCATGAATGTGTATGTGTCAAGGTCATTTATGAAAAGAAAATTTTGACAGCATTTTAAATCACCCCAAAAATCGTTGTGATCTTACTGACCTTAAGCATTCTTACAAGGAAGTTATACAGAAAAAAATATTAACCTCAGGTGAATGAATGATGGATGCTGTGTCATGGCATAAGTTCACAGACACTTTGTGCAAGTTGAGCTAAAAATGTGTATCTTTACCGTAGAGGGAAGTTACTTGCTGCGTTGCCATCAAAGCCATTGGCAGGTCCACCATTATCTGTTGTGAACATCAAGATGGAGTTTTCATACAGACCTTTCTTTTTCAATGCATCCACTACAGCGCCAACACCATCATCTAGTGCTGCCACCATGCCTGAAACAAAGCGGAGAGTAACAAAGATTCAGATATAATCTATAAATAACAGGATATATTCAAAATAAGCTGTAGCTAAAATCTATCAAGTTAACAAGACACTTATTCAGATAAAGTAGATTAAAAACTTAAACACACATCACAAGGGAAATAACTCCAGTTATTTTTAAGGATTTTTTTTCTTCAATTAACTGGCTATTAAAGTAATGTTATTCCCGAAAAGGTTTAATAATTCCAAAAAATTACTTCTTTTCTACTTTCAAACATTAAAAGTGTTACCTATACATGTATAATTATACCAATTTAATGACTCTGTAACTGTGGATTAATACAGACTGTGCCACTTAATTCAATTCCTTTGTTACCTGACAATACGATTTGTTGAACCATGTACAATATGCTTTATCAAAGTAATTTCTCATGAAGAAACTTGATATATCACTCATTCCAAATCTAAGGTGTACATGCATGGATCAAATTCACCTAAATGTATCTGTTTTAGTTGGTTTCTCCACTTTTCAGACTGTCAATATAATATTCCAACCAAACACAATTCTTACATTATTTTGATTCTATAGGAGCTATCCCTATCAAAACAATTAAAGTTTAGATGGAGATTGAATATGTAAATATTTCTCTACGAAGGAATACAAACGAAGTCCAGGCCTTATTTTACCATTACATTATTATTGTTGAGGCAATGTAGAATTATTGCAGGGAAACCATTAGTGTGGATGACGACACCAACAATGAAGCCCGTGGATTGATCCCTATAGATGTAATCTTCGTTTGAAATGGTGCATGCATATAAGCAACAAAGATTAGGCTTTAAAAATAGGAAAAAAGGACCTCAGCATAATATACACCAGTGAAATGCCATGTAACATTAATATGGACTTTACAAAAAAAGTCACATCTTTTGAACCTTTTAATTCATTATATGTAACAAATTAAAATTTGAAAATATTGATATCGCAGATAAAAAAAAATCAATTTCTATTATAAACCTTCAGAAGATTTAATTATTTCTTGGATTGGGTGAAATCATGGAATAAGCATATGTCCTTTTGTACCTTTGAAATCTTTCATTTGTAAGAGATTGTCTCCCTTGGTCCATATGTTATACACCATAAAAGAAAATCAATGTTTTAACAGAACTATGGAAAACTTTTATCAAAAACAAGACCATTTTTTTTTTATTAAGATGTTCGGTCGAAACCTTCAGTCAAACAAAGCATAATATGCTTATTACTCAAACTAATATTTTGCTAAACTTCTAACTCAACCTTTGGACACTGTACATCAGGCACATCAAGTTGCATTAAATCGAATAATGTTTAAACAAGCTACACCTACTGTAAGCATGTTGAGAAAGACAGAGTGAAGAAGGAGGAAGACAGAGTGAAGAAGGAGGAAGACAGAGTGAAGAAGGAGGAAGACAAAGTGAAGAAGAACAAACAAAGCCACAAAGCCATTATATGGACACTCCCAAAGCCATTATATGGCCTTTTAAATTTTGACAGGTTTATAATAAGTACAGTAGAAACCCGACTAACCAGCAAAGTCTTTACGCTGTTTGTTATGTATGTGGGGGTGTCTGTTGATGTAGGATGACGGAGCTTGTAGAGGATTGCCACTCGGCAAATTACCACTGTGGACAGCTTGGTACGGCAAATATAGGAATAGAGGCTGCACAAAACAAATGTATACTATACAATGTACACGTACAAGGCAAGGAAGTAATTCTAACAGTGTAGACAGTATGATGTTGTCAAATTTTCAGAGCAATCGGCTCCTTTATTGAGACACAGAAAAAACACCAAACAATTACATTAAATAAAAACAAAAACAGAAATACAATAGGATATAGCAAATATTTGAAAACAATAATCCCCTTGGCTAGCATAAGTCGAAGGCAGAATCTATAATATATATATAGTAATTTCATTTATCAATAACATCTAAATCTGCATAATTGATATGTCATTAGTGCTTGAATATCACAAAAAACATTGATTTAAATTGATAAGTTGGTTAAATATCAATGAAATAATTATTTAGCGACAAGTTTGAATGAGTGGGAGCTTACAATATCTTGAAGTCCCGAAGTCGCTGTACAAGGTGACACATAGCTGTAGTAATAGACAGACATAGACTAATATCTATTGCTGATGATTTATCATACCTCCTCAGCATTATGCTGGTTGATGATGTCCACTGCACGGTTAGTAAACAGGGTGGTGGAGTACTGACCTAATGCTGAGTAGTCGAGGCTTGCATTACATCTAAAGTCATAGCCAAAGAAAGCCTGGAACAAACACAGAAGTATAATACTAAAGACAAGCAATGTCTATGGCCAAAGTACCATATACATTGGTATCAATATCTTCATGTTGAGGGTGAACAAAGTAGAAAAAAGAACCATGGTTGGTACAAATAAAGTGTCCGGATTGTAAAAGAAGCTGAAATGGTTATCTCCCTTGAAATAGTGTATGCTAGTCACTGTCAACAGATGAAGTAAGGAATTTTCACATAAAAAATCAGTATTGTCTCACAATGTCTTCTATTTTTATAGGAATTGGTATCCTATCTAGGATGTCTTACCTCATTAGCCTCATAGGTGTGGTCATAATAATCACCACACCCTTGGTAATACCCTAAGTAAGACTCGAATCCACGACGTGTCGGTGTGTATTCACTCTTGAAAAAACCAAGATGCCACTGAAATCAAATGAAAATATATAGGTTATTAGGTCAATGGAATTTTACAGGTAAAGCAATTTAAACAATTCAAAATCATGCATCAAATACAATAAGTGTATTTAAGTAGAAAGGTTGAAGAATTGCCTTAAAATTTACACTTTTGTTTATAATAAATATCAAAAGTAAAGCGAAATTTATTATAGCTACTGGCAGTGAAATGGAATGAAATATACAGCCACTGAAATTGTGATGGAAAAGAGTTGGTTAATTTTTAAATTGTATAAAGACACGAGACCGATTCTTGTGTCCACTCTAGGAAACCATCGCCATGAAACATGAAACCACAATGGGAGGTTGATACCAGTCTGGAGCATTTTAACACAATGTCATAATTTGATTGAACAATGAAATCCTGTCAAGGGTGTTCCCCGCTACATGTAGTAGATCACAAAAAATATTTACCAGCTCCTAGAACATGTATTGGTCAAATGAGTCGGAGTGAGGAAAACCATAGCTGTGAGAGAAAATGAGTCGGAGTGAGGAAAACCATAGCTGTGAGAGAAAATGCACCCAATGTAAGATCTCTTTTGTTTTGTTTATAAAGCATGTGCATTGTAACATAGTGTATATTTTATTAGCCCACCATCATCAGATGGAGTGCTATTCAAATCACCCTGCGTCCTTGTTCCGTCGTCCGTCCTGCTGTCATTCTGCCTGTCCTTAACCTAATCTTGTTAGCGCTATTTCTCAGAAAGCACTTGAGGGATCTTTCTCAAATTCGACATGACGGTTCTCCATGGTCTCTAGTTATGCATATCATTTTTTGGGACTGATTACAAAACCAAGATGGCCCACAGCCAGCGATCTTTAATTTGAGAGTTTAAGTTTGTTAGCGCTATTTAAAAGAACTAGAGGGATCTTTCTCAAATTTCACCTGAAGGTTCCCCATGATCCTTTGTTATGCATATTGTTTTTTATGACTGGTCACAAAACCAAGATGGTGGATAGCCAGCCATCTTGCATCCTCGATATCCAGGGGTTATGCTCACTCTTGCTCTCTGCACCCCTGGAATATGTCATAGCAAAATTGAAGGCTCCATGTGCAGCACCTTATGGACGAGACGAGAAGACTAGGTTGATCCTTTGATGCACATCAAAAGAATCTCGACGCAGCGTCAGGGTAAAAAGTGACATGCTTTGAAGTTGGGCGTCGCTCCTCTGTTATCTTCAAAGAGCAAGCATCAGCCTAGTGATTGGTCAAGATTTTTTACCAGACACCAATCAAATAGCTAGCCGCGTGCCTTCAATTTTGTTGACATATTCCAGGGGTTTAGAGAGCGAAAGTCAGCGTAACCCCTGGATATCGAGGATGGCCATCTTGAATTTGAGAATGAAAGTTTGATATAACCTGAAAAAGCCTATTAACTACTATCAACATTGACTATTATCAATTATTAGGGATAAAGCCAAAATTAAATTATATACAGCTACATGTATATAAAGAACTCACCTTTCCCACCATGTGTGAGCGGTAGCCTAGTTTCCCTAGCCACTGAGGCATAATCGTAAAGTTGAGGGGAAGGCCATAGGGTTGGGCACCAACAATGACACTTTCTTGTAGTCCTGTCAGAGGAAGGAGAAGGAGATTAGGGGAGGTAACTCAGTACTCACCTTCCCAACCATGTGTGTCCGGTAGCCTAGTTTCCCCAGCCACTCGGGCATAATGGTGAAGTTAAGGGGGAGACCATAGGGTTGGGCACCCATTATAACACCTTCATTAAGCCCTGGCATAAAGGTAAAACAACCAGTTACAGAGACAGGATGAAATAAAGATCTTAAAATAGTCTCATATTGATTTAAAACAGGCATATTTCAATTATTTTAATGAATGTGTAAATTGAATTTTTTATATAGAGAAATAGTATGATAATGAAGATAATCTTCACTATTACAGTAACATTAGAAGTGAACAACACTTGAACAAAGCTATGTAGCTTGTTAGAAGCTAAAAATGGAAATGTTACACAGTTCAGAACACTAAATGATTCTTCCTATAATTGCTCTCACAGAAATGATAGCAAAAATGAATATAAGTTTCAAAATAATATGATCTTTCAGTATTCTTTAAGAAGAATTCAAAAATTGGATAATAATTTTAAGCTGAAAATCAACATGACACTGTTTCTGTGCATGAATAATCTACAGTATCTATAATTTGAATGTTAGTGAAAGATAAAATCAACCTTACACATAAGTTCATATTAGGTGTGAACTGTATTGGAAATGATGCGTTATATACCTGTATGGATTGGGTGATAGCCAGACATGAGTGCCCCTCTTGTAGGGGTACATATCGGTGAGACGTAGTAGTTGTTCAGTATGATTCCACTGTATGCCAAGCTGTCTATGTGAGGGGTGGGGATCTGATTGGAACCATGAAAACTGATGTCATTCCATCCCTGTAAAAAAATCTAATGATTTTAGTTTTAACATTGGAAATGTTAACAAAATGAAGTTATATCACAAGCTTACTCAATGACCAAATAAAAAGTCCCATCAAAAGCTTTCTCACTAATCAATTAAGAAAATTAGTTATATTGCAAGCTTACTCACTAATTATTAAGTCAGGAGTTACATTACAAGCTTACTCACTAATCAAATAAGAAGTTATTTCACAAGCTTACTCACTAATTAAGTCAGGAGTGACATTATAAGCTTACTCACTAATCAAATAAGAAGTTATTTCACAAGTTACATTATAAGCTTACTCACTAATCAAATACGATGTTATATCACAAGCTTACTCACTAATTTAGTCAGTAGTTACATTATAAGCTTACTCACTAATTAAGTCAGGAGTTACATTATAAGCTTACTCACTAATCAAATAAGATGTTAAATTAAAAGCTTACTCACTAATCAAATACGATGTTATATCACAAGCTTACTCACTAATCAAATACGATGTTATATCACAAGCTTACTCACTTATTAAGTCAGTAGTTACATTATAAGCTTACTCACTAATTAAGTCAGGAGTTACATTACATCAAATTATATCAAATGAAGCCCACTAACCAGATCATCTGCTACAATCATAACTATGTGTGGCCTTGGTGATTTGGCTTCCACAAAGGTCAGGCCTAGGGTGATCAGGAAGATCAGTAAGCATGCTCTCCTCCGATGCAATATTGACATGGCTAGAACAAAAATTTAATTGTGTTGATTTTTGCGAAATAGGTTAAAAGGAATTGTCAACATTAATTTCTATAGGTACATGTAGCAACAACCGAGCAAACTGGGATATTCATATTGACCTCATACAGTTATCAACTGTTTTTGTCACCCTGGTAAAATGCAAGCCACTTCCTACCGACTCGGCTCAGGGATTACGTCTCTTTAGCTCAATGGCAGAGCCTAAGACTAGTAAACCAGAGGTTCTGGGTTTGACTTGATCCTAGTGGCGGAATTAGAAAAGTTAATGACCTCTGTTTCATTATTTCGGCGTTCACATAGAGACCCAGGAAATATTGACAAAATACTCGTGACGCTAATGCAAAGAAATCACTTAAAATGACCCCTGGAAAACTCGGGACAAGTTAAATATAAATAACCAAAGTGTCATGTCTCAGGGGCCTTGTTACAACATGTAGGAAGAGGATCCCCAATTGCAATCACTTAGAAAGCAGGGACGTATGATATACAGTATACATTGTACTTTGACTTTTTCTCTATGATGTTATTTATGAATGTGTGCAATAACTTACATGACAAAACATTGTGCTTATTCTGCAAATGCAAAATAAAAATTGTCTGTGATAATATGTAAACTCATTATTACTAATAATGTTATTATTATTGCAACATTTGTGTTTGTCACAGTAATAAGCCTAAGCTCTCAAGAGCTAATGTTCCATGTTACTACTGTATGTATGCGACTTTAAGAAGACAATTTAAAAAATGTCTTTCTAGTTCGCGATAGATACCTTCATTTATGAATATTAACCTACTATGACCACTATTATTCCGGATTTCCAGTCACCGTTATAATTACTTTTACCACGGACTTAGATCTTCTTCTTTATACGAGGTCTCCATCAGTTTGATGATTATGCCATCGGGGAACTAATTTAATTCCGTGCTCTTACTAGTACTCCTATCATCATATTAGTATATAAGGGGTGCGATAATATATCGCATATATTCCAGAACCCGAGCTCCTGTGACTATATAGGTTACTATGCGGGAGATCGTAACACGGGTTGGTAACATCTCGAGATGAAACTACTTCAAATGTCAACGAAACAAAACTCTGTTGCATTCCACAGCTAAATAGGCCTACTTAAACCATGTACAAGGGAAAGGGTTAACTCCAGGAAATCTGATAGCAAAACGTAGTTTCATTTCAATATTTACCAGCAGTTTACATCCGTCATGTGATACAACATGTGTAACTGTGAAAACGAATCACGGTAATAGCACCATCCGTATTTTTAAGCAGGTTTGCAATGTGATACAAGATACAATAAGCTTAGAATAGGGTGAACAATAAACATAAGCTCTCAGGAGCTTGTATTTCTACAAACATGATAAATATAAATATGATACAAGTTAAGACAAATACATGAAATAAAACAAATAGCACATGAGCATATATAATTATAGTTCATCATGTGGTGCATCAAGTTTCCAAGGGTTGGGGAGCCCCTTACCAGCGAGGTCTGCTTATTATTAATGCGCACATCATAGTATAAGTAGTTTAAGAGAGATATAAATATCAATTTCATCACATACATGTACAGTAGTTAAAGTTAAAAGACTGGACTTTTATCAAATTGAGAAAAAAGTATTTAACCACGGAATTAGTTATCCAAGTCCGTGATTGAACACATATTTTATAAAATATAACTATATCTAATACTGGTAAGATTGTGGTAAGATTTGAAAGCACTAAAATTCATAAAAATATTTAAAAAGTTAGAAGTAGCACATAATTTACAGGAGAGATCCACCAGGCAGGGCAGACAAGTTTGCAAGATGTGTTACATTACACACATGGAACACTTACAGTTGAGGCCGTCCCACACTTGCAGCTGTCTGCGGAAATCCTTATAGTTATTAGCCTTTCTTAGTTCGTTGGGCAGACAGTTCCATATGCGGGCAGCCTCATATATACCGAAATGACTTTTTACCATACATGGTAGTTCTAACCCTAGGTGCATCTACAGTCTCCTCTTGCCTTAAATTATAAATGGATACTTTTTTAATTATAAATTCCTGTATATACCCAGGAGACATATTGTATCTTTGTATTTTAAGGTGCAGAAAACATGGAATCTATCCACTGTGGTGATGACGTAAGATTTGTAGAACTAATTAACAAATTATGTTGTTATACATTGCAGCTCATTTATATGACGGCTTGTCTGATTGGATTATATTGGTCACATGGCAGGGAAATAATACATGATGTTCCCTTACGCGCTCGAGTTTCCCGTGTCATCTTTCACTAGTTTGGGATGTTAAAATTGCATTTATCCACTGTAATAATGAGGTGACGTTCCTGGTGCGACGTGTTTCCACTGTGGTGAGGTTGTGAGGTTATATTTGCACAGCAGGGGTGGTTGACTTGCTTGTCAACTGTCAATCCACGAGGTTGGGCGTAACCTGTCGCCTGGAACGCCTACTGGCATTGCATACAGGAAAAACTAGTTTAATTTTCAGTGGGATATTAGAGCCAGATGTTGTAAATAATGTTATAAAGGGAGTTATATGCACCTTTCCCTTTCGTTTTATTTCTGTAATTAATGTTTCGGAACACTTCGGACAAGGATTTTCATTCTTTTAATCTTAAGTAACTCTACTGAATTCTAAGCTAACGAAATGGCATTATGCATATCGTGCAGTGATTCAAAAAATGGTTTGCACATTTTTTTTTAAAAGGGTACGTACTTCTTTACATCATATTCCTTATGGTAAGTACACAGGAAATGTCATCTTTCAATGGTGACGATGAAGGGACGTCGTCCCTGCTTAATATACAGAAGATATAATACCTTGTAGCCCCTGTTTGGAGTGGGTTCATTTAGGAACGGGTCCAAGACAGGGCATGTCCGCTTTCACACATTAAAGAAAACATACGTTTTTAGTACACTCGATTTATTTGATTGATAATCATTTTGGAGTTGAATTTAAATATTTAGAATGTGTATATATATGTATTTAGTAAATGTGAATAAGTTAAAATATGTCAAATAACAAACTCGTATCAGCCTCGAGTCACAGGTCGAAACAGAGTTGGTTATGGAAATATGGTCATATGATTGATAGGTTTCTTTGATGATATAGTGACGTCATGTCTTTACATTATATAGAATATGTCATTTTTCACGTAGGTGATTTAGTTGTAGACAGTGTGCATGTACTAGAAAAATAGACACAATGTTCAATGACCAACGCGCTATCAAACGAATGCATCATCACCATCACGTTAACCACTTAAGAGATGATGTAAGTACTGTCAATCCTCTTGCGTAAAGGCCCTTTTCCGGAATTCTATCATAAATCATATCTTATAGGATGGGACTGGGTTTTAAATTTCGTACGTCATGTCACAGAAACACAATATGCAAATACGCAATTTAGTTGTTTTCTCGTATCAATGATAATTGTTTCGTGATCATTTTTGCTATTATATTACACGTATGCTCATTTATCTACAGGACGGATAACATTTATATCGTTTCTAGTACAACGAAATATATCTGCTGAGAATTTTAATCCGATCGATAATAAAATCATCGTCTTTAAGCTCCTATCATTTCTAAGAGTAAAACAAAGAAATACCGAGACCGACTGAAAATAGTGCGTTGTTCTTTGGTTCTTGCATACATGTGATGTTACATGAATGTACAAATGTTTGAGAGAGGATGTCATCAGTCTTAATGTTACATCATTGTAAAATAAAGAGGAGGTTCATTGTCATTCAAATTCCGTTTGGGTAGCCGGACAATAAAACGGAAAAAAATTAAAGTTAACAAAAGGAAACATCGCAAGACATCGACAGATCCACATTCAGATGGTTACGGGGAAGTTATCTGTCATGGTAGACAGTGGTACACATGTATAATTACCAGGTAAAAAGATTATTCGATCTGCCTGATGGTTAAGTTTCTGATTACCACGGACAGAACTGTGAAGGAGTACTATCTTAATGAAAAATAAGATAGTCATTGATTCTAATTAAATTGATTGTAAGAGAGCGAACGAGTGTCAGGGCTGGCCAGCTGTGTGAATCGGAGAGTGGCCGCAATGTTTACAATTAAGAGTTAGATTAAGGGAGAACAAGATGAATGAAAATTACCAGTATCATGGGAACAGAATATTTTGTGTGACCAGAGTATGTGATATGATGAGGTTTAATGTGAAAGTGTTCAGACAGGTCATTTTTCGGAAGTACGTCAGAGAGGCAACATGTGATTGAGGAGTGTATACAGATTGTAGATGTTAATAACTTTTAGTGAAAAATGTCATGGTTACGTCCTCAGAACACGACAAATCACTATCTTCGTCACATGACATATAGGGAAGAGTCACGTCTGCGTTAAATAATTAAACATAAAGATCAAGGCGAGGGATACAGGTCCTCTGGGCCTCTTGTTTTATTTTTCGTTTTTTTGTGACATGACAAATATTCAGTTATGTGTGGTTCTTTCTGTTAACAAGCAAATATAGAAAGCCTAAAGACACTAAAGGAAATAATCCAATTCTGGCATTATTTCCCCCTATTTCATCTTTATCATCCCCTGTTTAAGCTAAACAAATCCCCATTTGTAACTAAATACTACCGCATGGATACCTGTCCTTGTTCCACAACTGAGTGATTTATTTCATTTTCCTTGTGTTCATGTTATTTGTCACTGCTGATATTTTACGACACTGTTTACAGCTAGCCCTGTTTGTAGTACTCAATAGCTTATAGTAACAATTACACAAACGCTTCATTCTAATGCATATCTGGTGATTGATTTGAAGCGTCTATAATGAACGGCCCTGACAGGACAGGTTATGCACCAACAATGAATATTTCCCCCTTTTTAAAACGGGTACTTACTTTAATTACTGCATTTATCCCTGAATGTAATATAAGCACACAATAGTGATGACGACAGATGCAAAAACTAAGCAATCCTAAATACGGACGTTTTATAAATCTTTAAAAGCCTTTACCCTGTTAAGGCTAAAACTGGCACCAAATGGTCACTGTGACATGTCGACAAACGTTTTGACAATGACTAACATTTTAATTACATCGTACTTGAATATGTAATTACATGGTTACTTAATGGCAATAAAGCATAACTAACAAAGGATGATATGAGCATGTCTGTCTATATATTTCCATTCTATAACTTAATTGTTGTTGCAGAAAAAGGAGAATACTATATATATATTGTTTCGGTTAGCTTGTAAATAATAATAATGATACTAATTCCAGGTTTTTGTATACCGCTTTATCACAACCTAGTTGGATACATACATGTATTCGTAGGTCGTCTCAAAGCGTTTCACAATTTATTATCCGTGGTTATAGGGCCTTTACAACCAGCCAATATCGTTCTAAACTCCATGGGGAGCATACAGCCGGTGCTGCTATTTCGGTGCTCACAGCTAGCATTTAACAATTCAAGCACTGCGAAACCACGTACTCGTTTCCAGCTGAGTAGACTGGAACAGGCGGAGTAAAGTATCTTGTTCAAGGATACAAGACAGTGCCGTGACATGACTCCAACCTCAACTATTCGGTCACGAGCCCGGCGTCCTACCACTAGACTACCGTGCCTCCTAAATGCCGCGTTGAGGACAATTGCAGTGCTTAAAAGTTAGAAAAAAACCTTCTCAGGAGTAGGCGTGTTCCTGATTCCCTTCTGTCTTTGGAATCAATCCAGTCGTCGTTGTTGTCGAGGTAGATCTATTTCATCTGTTCGTTTCCTGGTATAGCTAAGATCCTTCTATTGTTGGATCAAACTTTTGGGTATGTGTTGATTGAGGATTTACCGCTAGATGGTTCTCTTACAATATTTCCGCCTGAATGACAAGATAAGAATTACCCAATAAGACAACTGGGGTTTGACAGTTTTATTGAAGAATTCGGGGTTTACCTTGTTACTGCATGCCCATGTCAGTGGGGTCAATGTCCTTTTCCCACCAGGTTATGATGTTAAAATGCAATCCCTCCTTCTGCTCCGGACTGTTTTTTGTCCATTCATGAATCTATGTAGGGAAGGGAAGTATGGCAACTTCAGTTTATCTGAAGGATGCCTACTTCCAAATCACTATCTAGATATCGGTATGGCGATCACATCCATCTGCATTATTTTTTTCCCTGGTTATATCATTCGAAGTTTACAACCGAAACGATGCTTTTAAAAAGTACTTTTTCTCGTTTACTACTCTCCTGCAGTTTAAATGATTTTGTTTGTAAAGGCTACCCATCGACAATAAAAAGTGGATTTCATTTCATTATTTCGTTCAGAATGAATATTTCCACTCTTCGTTGTTGTCTCTGGCAACCGGTACAACACGGTGTTCTTCTTCGAGAACACGTTTCTAAAGGTTTGAGAGTTATAGCTATCCTCTTTATGAATATATTTAGTGTTCAAAATTCTGGGTTGCGTCAACCCCTTTTCAGATGTGGTTCCTCTCGCACGCCATACAATCATGCCCTTCCATAGGATCCTTCTTCCTGACTGTGTCCCTGCTTACAGTCAGTGATTGAGAAGCAATATTACCATGTAACAAATCAGTGATTAACTTATCCTTTGTGGACACCATGAGACATTGTCCTTCAGGGATAATCTACATCTTTAGACTGGATGGCTCTAACCAATATTCTGAGCACCTGGATGTTTCCGTGACTGACCTAGACGGTCATACCCAATCTGGGTAGCTATCCAAGAATCAATTCTCAGAGCACATAAATATGTAAAAGATGAGGGCAATCGATTTACATTGTATTCACTTTAAGAGCTCCTGCAGTCACTAGTTACAAAAATATACAATTGATGCTTATTTGAGGCTTGGGTGATGACCACGTTTCATTATCTATGTGCCCTGGTCATTCAGGTTCTTATCATTCTAAAGGAATATGCATTCGACCGTTAAGGTAAGATAACTTAGGACATCAGGCCTTGCCCTGGTTGACGTTACTGCGGACATTTCAGACTGCACCATTTGATCGATCTAGAAATCTTCTTCAGCAATCCATCATTCTAGAGGGATATTTTTTTCTGTTATTGGTTTGGAGAAAAGAAATTCGATCGAGTGAAGGCTTCTGTTCATTTGGTTTCGTATTTTATGTTAAATGGGGTAGGAAAAGCCATCGTGGGTTTTAGACTGTCTGGATTTCGTTTTTCTATCGCCAGTGTTTTTGCATTCATGGCAAACTGAGAATACGCATGACTCTTCCCTTTTCCTGCTTTGATAAGAGTTTTCGGTTGAATTTCTTTTATTTTGATTATATTTTTTCCAGGTTTATACACACTCATGATATTATACACGGCAGACTTTTTAAAAACAGGTTGTGTAAGAGGAGCTTCCGAAGGGAGGTTCTGGGAATTTGAAATTCTATTTTTGAAACACAAAAAGGGTAATTATAGTAGTTAACCATAATAAAGTTAATTGGTTTTACGAGCTATATATGAAGCAATGCTACTATATTCAATAAGTGTGTTTATCAGTCATGAGACTCGCGTACCTGTGTTACACCAGGTGCTACACGGAAATTTGTTTTGTTTTGTTTGTTTGTTTTTTTCCTTGGAGCATATCAAAATCTGACGGGGAATATCTAAAGTGCAGTTACAAGCATTAACGTTTTATGTCAATAACCGTTTTTCAAGGATTTCTAATCTAACGAAACAAAATGATATAATGTAAGAAAACATTGAAAAAACCCTTCAGGAACAAGAACAAATATTTCTAATATCAGAATTCACCGAATATCATGCACATACACATAATTAATTTCAAATGAATTTTTGTAGGGTTTTGAAAAAACATAATTTTAAGGAAGCCTTTTTTTCAAACTCATAACTTAAAGCTTCAGTTATTTTTCCCTACTTTACTCTATTAAAAACGTTGACATTTAAGTTAATAAATTGTTAAAGTAATATTTATTTGATTTAGTGTTCAATAAAAGTGTTCTATAAAAAAAAATCATTTACATTGTATTTCAAAATGATGTAAAGTACACAACGTTATAATCATATACACATGTAAGTGTTAGGATATCATTGTTTTAGATAATTTCTCGGAACAAGAAAACAAAACGATATTTATATATACTAAGCAATATATTCATGCCTCGAACAGATTATAGAACGCCCTCTCTCCACATCCCCCACCCATTCCCAATCTCAGACTTTCTTTCTACCGAATTCTCCTTTTCTATGTATATCTGCCTCTGATATTAATAAGTAGGCAATATGAGTAGCAATATATTAGCGTAACTGAATGCATACATGTACCACGTGTTTGGCATTTCCCTGTGTATAACAGAAATACCAGAAGCTACAGAATGAACAAGAGGAGGAATTTACTGCACGACAAGTAATGACGTTAGATTATTAGAGAGTCACGAACAGTGAATAGTGTATCGCCAGTTCCGTCCTGCATGAAAAAAGATTAACTGCATGGTATACATATGTAAACTGCATGTTCACACATTGTGTTGCATTGGACTTTGTCACTAATTTTGAACTCCTGTTTTAGGTCTTCATCATTTCCTTCCCCGTTATTTATCCAGTTTTATCTATAAGGTACAATGTTTTTGTTCGAATAGATTCTAATTTCATTAGGATGACTGCAGCAGAAGTTGTTACATAAACACAGAGATTAGTGAGTCTGACAATGTTTTGAATGCATCGGCAACTGTATCACTCTTTTAAAATGCCTCCTAATATCGCTAGATAAGCATACCGTCAATTTAAACGATGATGAGGAAAGGCCTACAACAACCTCTATAGCCTTCTTTTGTCCTGTTGCGAAAGTCTCTATAAGAGAGATAATTAAGATTCTAACGACATGGTCAGTATACTTGAGACTTACTTTATTATCACACGAATATTGATGAATTTTTGTAGTACAGATTCTAGGAGAGAGATTATGCATCTACTACGATAAGACTCTTCAGAATGTAAATTGTTTATGTATAGGTTTGTTGACATACAAAGTAAAATTGAACAAACAAACATACTATAGCGGCACAACACAGGTGTGTATACTGTTGTACAGCGTGACACAAGATCTTGTTATGTTCGTAAGTGTGCTGCTATGTATTAGTACACAACCTTAATTATTTGGCTGAGTGCGCACGGAATCTCAGTACGTAAGTGCTTCAGTAAGAGTACCCGGATCATTGTAAACAGGTCACCAAACCCCTACATTCGCTAGGTTATATTATATTACACCCTGCTCTTCATTTCACAACAAGGAAGTCACCTGCCATGGCAGACCGTTCTATATGTGTTGCTTTTATGGGTTTGAGCTTTCTGACTTCATATGTTGGTAAGAATTTACATTTTGTTCGTACAGTTTTATAACTAATAACTAGTATTTGAAAAGGCAATCGACGTATTTAAGCCCGACATGCCTTCCCAGTAACCGGTATTAACATATCATGTTTGTTGACATTATGTAACGCTGGTGTACATCTAGTGCAGTTTGTATCAACTTGCGTCGTAACCTCAACACAAAGTGAAAAGTATATATATCATGTGAACACCCCAATGTCCATGTTATATTAGCGATGTATGACATTGAGGTTACATTTTCCAGAGAGATTTTGTCAGGGAATGGTAAATAAGTTGTACATAGCTGTCGTTCATTGATTTTCATCACATGGCTTGTCATATCCTCTAGGGTTACGTGTCTTCATTAGAATGAACATGTACGTATTATTCTTTGTCAGTTGAGAAATGAGGCCAGTAACCTAAATAATGACCGTCAGAAAGATTATCTTACTGAGTCCTCTGCATGTTCTTGTGGTTCTAGATTTAAAAACAGCATCTCATTACTTCCATGATTGTATCAAATACACTGAAGATCGTATTCTACTTTTTCATTAGATGTCATGCTAAATGGTTGTGAGAGATGTGATGAAAATGACAATAAACATATTCTCCTATATATATCCAATTACATTTTAAGTTCGAGAAGATTCAGGACATTTAACTTCAATTTTGAATGAAATTTTACATTTTATATATTTACACTTTATTTATTAATTTACATTTAATTTTTTTCTCAATGTAATTCTTCTGATTTCCAGAAATGGTACATGAATATTAATATTAATATTTCCTATTTGTCTTCATTGCTTATTTTTAAACATTGTTAGTGAGGGGGGGCTGGGGTTCAGAAGACCAGTTATACTATTTTATTAAAAAATATTGGGAAACAACTACATAAATAAGAATATAAAGCTTTACAACATGTTAATTATATATCTAACCTGTGTTTAATATGCATAAATCAAACTATTTGGTGGGATTGAATTTCCAAACTCATCAGTGGATTGCCTTGTGTGATACAATCGACTTTTCGGCTTGTATCTGTTGGGTGCGGTAATTTAATCCCATCAAATGTTTATACATGCAGCTCCATCAACGAATTATTTTTCTTTTCTCTTCATAATATGTATATATATATATACCGGTATATATTTTATATGTCTTTTCAATTTCAAAATAAAAGATTAGAATTTAAACCATTAGATTTAATTATAATAAAAATCAGTATTAGTAGTTGTTTCCCCTAATTTGATTATTAATTTGATAATACCAACTTGTTTATATGTGTTTGTATGTGTTCTAATGCCTATGTCTATGCTTGTACCACTGTCTGTTACTATGTTTAGAAAGGGCTTAAATAGGCTATGCCGGCTGCCCAATCCATTTGTCCTTTGACAATAAAAAATATTGAAATTCAAATACGTATTATTGAAGGTGTTTCAAATTCATGCCCCTGATAGTACAAATTCCACCTATGAAAAACAAGAAAACATTGTATGCCCGCGAAAATATGAATACAGATTATAGCTTAAAATCTAGCCACACATGAAATGTTACAGGTGTTGTAATTTATTTGAGGACAGTATTGCAAACCTTATTTGCAGGTTTTGGTTTAAAGACAGTAATACAGTTTTTGTTTGGTGTAGATACGCAAGCTCTTTTATAAATTCTGCGTCAAAAAATCACCATAAGCAAGTAGGTCAGGAAACTGTTAAGGTAGAGTCCCATGGATATTCCGAAAGTCTGCTACAAAATATTTGCACCGAACTCAACTAAAAAGTATTGTCAACCATAAATCGAATCATACTCACGATTCCATGCATGTTGGCACTTTTCACAAAATATGCATGGCTAATACATTTCATCACAATACGCCAACCTATGCTTTTTGACGGTTTAGTATGAGCTAATGTAATGTACAAAATAAATGTTGATAGGTCAATTTATCTGACAATTTTTTTCTAAGTCGATGATGGTCAAGATTAAAAGAAATAACACTTATATACGTATTAATAACTTTAAAATCGTTGTATTTCTGGACAACAATTCTTGATTGTTTTCCTAAACTCCATGGAAAAGAAGGGCGATAAAGACTATTGTCAGAGCGTTTGAAAGCGTTTGAACCTCGTTATGTTGCTAGACAAGGGTTCGACTCCTGGCGCTTAGGGCTACTTCTAGCAGAACCCAATACGCAGTTTTTAGATAGTTGTGAATATATTGTTTATTTTGGAGCAGCCCCAGTGAAAGTACTGATCATTGATATGTGAGGGTTGGCAGATGACTTAACAATACATCTATCTGTGAAGTCAACTGCCAGACAGGTCCAGTATTATCACTGTGAAAAGGACAATAAGCGTGAATAGAAGGTGCTAGTATATTACATGTACAAATGAAGAAAGTGATCACGTCATGTCATTCAAACAGTATATCATTGGGGGGTTTAATCAACTAAAGCTGGTATTTATTTGAAACAATGGTATGATGGAATTGCTAGGGCGTGTTCGTCTGCATAACACACAGTCTCAAATTTTAACAGGAGGAATCTTACGTCTGAATGGAGGGGATGACCAATATGAAGGACGACTCGAAATATACGACAATGGAGAATGGCAGACAATTTGTCGTGACAACTGGAACAATAATAATGCTATCGTCGCCTGTAGGCAGCTGGGGTTAAAGTAAGAATACAATGATGCGAATTGGCAGTGCTGCAGTTCACGTTTTTTTTTCTGTACAAATTATCGTTATTCACAAAAATGCTTTTAATAGTTCTAACATAAAACATAATTAAGTGATTCCTAGTTGTTAGTTAGGTAGATTGCTGTAAATGTTATGCACAGTAAATTGTTTGCGTTCAATTTAAACGAAAAATCAAACAATCATTTTAACCAGTTATCACATGTAAATATACCAACTGTGTCTTGGTTAAACTTATGCTGAAACGAGAGGATGCCTAGAACTTATAGAAATTATAAATAATATCCTCTTGCTTTACTCAAATCATTGCCCCATACATCATCGAATAAAAAACATAATTCCCCTGTATTTTAGTCTGTACTGTCTAGTTCGCAAAAGTTATATTGGGGTCAGCATTTAGTGTTTCCTCATAGGTCAACCATACCGTGACGTGACTCTCTCTTTAACAGCACAAACAGTATAAGGCTAACCGTTTAAAGTTTATTAATCTGCGATGATGGTTTACATTTGTAGTCCAGTCGCTTTAACAAAAATTAGCCAAAGCATCAAACAATTCGCATCAGAATTTTATATCAGTGTTTCTCAATGATGTGTATCTACAGTATATATATATATATATATTAACAGATACAAAAGTATAAAAAAACATCCCTTCAGGAAAAGTATTTTTCACTTTCTCGGGGACTTAAAATAACGAAAACCACTTATTAGACCAACTTTGCAGTGTACATTGTATGTCACACTGAGTATTGAAAATTAAAAAGATTTCAAGACGAACTTGTCAAAACGTTGCTCCAGAATCAATATATTCCAAAATATTTAATTATTAGTATGGCTAAATAGCATTCTTAAATTGAACATATTTGCTTCAGTTACTGGAAACCCTGTTTTTTGAATTTGTTCGTCAGCAGTCGACATCTATCACGAAATTCTGAATATTCAGAGCAAGCTCTTATGTACCAAAGCAACTGCGACATGTAAACACTGTGGTAGGGGAAGCAGATGATACTATTAAAAAAGGGAAAGTTTCTGATAGGAAAGTCTAGATCGTCCTGTGTATCGTACACTTTTTCAAATTTACATACATGTACCATTTATTCTACTTCTTGAACATATAGCATCACAATACGAATGCGACCCCGATTTACGGTACTGAGAAAGAAAGTGAGAAGTTTGGATTACACAAGCAACTGCTGAACAGCATATTATTTTATCTTTGAGTGTATAATTCTAAGTAGAAATGCCATTATGGTTCAGATATCTTAAAAGAAGGGCTAAAACAGGATGGCTAAAACCTCATCTCATGCAATGTTGACCTAACAGTAAAAGGTGGCAAAGTCAAAGATTTTAACAACAAGAGTATTAGTCTTAACATGTTTTGTCGTTTGTCTCATTAATACATATTTTGGCATGCGTAACCAATTTTATATCCACCAATTATAGAACAAAGTAATCAAACATGGGATTTTCAATTTCATTTAAAAATGGAACAGCTCTTAATTCATTACAAGACAAGGACAAAAATATGTCGACTTTACTGCATACTAATTTTAGTTAAATAAAATATTTGTGATTCTAACGCAACGTTTTGCCAAATAAATATTTTCCTTTACTTGGTCTGGTTATATGTTTAATTTCCAATAGTCAGTGTTATACAAAATGTAGATATTACACTTCAAAGTTGGTCAAATATGTGATTTTATGTTATATAATTGATCCTTAAGAGGTTTTAAATTGATAATTATTGATAACAAAACACACCATTTCATTTGTGTCATTAAAATAAATATTCATCATTGTGGAAAAAAACACAAAACAAAAAGTAAAATTTCTTGTTTAAAACATAAAATCATTGAACCACTGTTTAATACATGTCGACTTTACTGCATACTAATTTTAGTTAAATAAAATATTTGTGATTCTAACGCAACGTTTTGCCAAATAAATATTTTCCTTTACTTGGTCTGGTTATATGTTTAATTTCCAATAGTCAGTGTTATACAAAATGTAGATATTACACTTCAAAGTTGGTCAAATATGTGATTTTATGTTATATAAATGATCCTTAAGAGGGTTTTAAATTGATAATTATTGATAACAAAACACACCATTTCATTTGTGTCATTAAAATAAACATTCATCATTGTGGAAAAAAACACAAAACAAAAAGTAAAATTTCTTGTTTAAAACATAAAATCATTGAACCACTGTTTAATACATGAATGCGATGAATTATAAATGTACATGATGCAATGCAAATTGCAAAGCTAGACAAATAAGAGAACTGTGTTTATAATTATACAGACTAACGGCATTAAATATATTTATCACATACTGTGTTATCGAGTGAAAGTATCCATATCATATGTTTGCTTATTAACCCATGTAATATGACCTATCAGCCCTGTGATTGGTTGTAAGTTTCAATTGTTTCAATTGTGATGTCACGCCTATGACAAGTACATGCACCGGAGTCAAAATTTTCTGGAATATTATTAACTTGTACATATAAAATATATCAAGCTATCTCAAACCTCCTTATTTGTATAAATTATTGCTCTCATAAAAAAATATGTTCTTTGTTCTTTTTCAACATATTAACGTACGAGATAATGTTCAATCAAATTTCAATATAAAAGATTTTTTAATTGATATTTATTATATATTTATTTGTATGTGTGTTTTTATTATTACAGGGGCGGATCCTGGAGACGGGTAACAGCTTCAGAAGTAGGTGACAAAACATTTTTGTCAGAAGTAATAGATTGTCAGGGAAGTGAAAACCGTCTTGAAGCATGTAGCTCCACCGGAAAGGACTCGAGTGGATGTAAACACTCCGACAAGGACGAAGTTTACGTGACATGCAAACCAAAGAAAGGTATTATAAATCTATAAATCTGTGCAATATATCTTCCTATTAAGAAAGTTTGTAAAGTACATACGTTTAACAGTTATGTCTTATAAAGTTAGGTGTTTAACAGTTATGTCTTATAGAGTTAGGTAAAACTATACATTTAGCAATGGTTATGGTTGCGTGTAGTTGACTATGTATTACTATGTGTTATTCATGAGAAGAACATACTTTCAAAAAGCACTTGAAAATTGAATATGATTAATGCTATAAGTTACAATAATGGTACATAAAAGAACTTTGATTCAGCACATTCTGTAGGCTTTGTCCTCGATCTATCATCCATCTTACCTAACAAAATCATTTGATGTACACATACATGCATTGTCACAAGAAGATAGATATGTTTCATGAATTAACCTAATTGTGCAAAGGAAGTCGTCATGTTTACAGATATCAAGTTTGAATGGACATATTCTTGGATAATGCGTTCGAAACACACATTTGTTATACTCCCTTTTTTTGGTAATCTTACTAATTTTATTGCCATTTTATTTAACGAATTTTTCGTAGTATTTTTCGAAGTTCTTATGGCATGCATGTACCACATCTGAATGTAGCTTAACCAGGGATATACGAGCTTTAACATTTTATAAGTGTGTTCTTTTTTGAAAAGACAAGGAGGAAAATAATAACTGGTGATGTCTTCTTTGTAGATGGTGTATTACGGTTACATGATGGCCCGATTCAGTATGAAGGTAGACTAGAAATATATCACGACAGCAAATGGGGAACAATATGCAGGGATAAATGGGATGCTCATCCTCAAAATGCTCAAGTGGCATGTCGTCAGCTAGGATATGAGTAAGTTATGTACATTTGTATAAATTCTAATTGCATACCTTCGATCGAAACACTTAAGAAAAAATATTTTCAAAAACTTCAAATATTCAATACGTATTTATATCACTTGGAATTTGTTATTTCAAAATAATACGATTTGCGATGAAACTAATTTCAATCTTTCTTTAGTAATACTAGCAAGTATACTTATTGGAAATTTTTACCTTCACATAATGTTTTAAAATATTTCTTATGGCAGAGGCGGATCCTTTCGAGAAGTGTCCTACTCTGAAAGAGCAAGCAGTTCTGTCGAATTTTGGATGGACGACGTTAAATGTCACGGCAACGAAACTTCCCTTCAGGATTGTCCCTTCAGGGGCTGGGGGAATGATAATTGCTACTCTTACAGTGACGAGATTTATTTACAATGCACGGAACGTAAAGGTAGGGTCTCGTTCATATCAACAGTAACAACATTTACAACATCTTAACTTATTTTTATGACCTTCCTTTTTGCAACAGTCCTATTTCGTCTAACAAAATAATAAAGCTTTGCTGTTTGTCTCCCTATTAAATGTACCGTAGAGATAACATCAACCTTTGTAGGTCACCTGGACATAGGTCATAGTGATCTATTGTCATCCGCCTTCGTCTGTCGTCATTATCTTGTGAGCACGATAATTTTATAGTAAATGTAAATGGTTTCGATACATTTGGCTTTATTGCTTTATATCAATCAGATCTCGGACAGGTTCGAAAGTAGTCTCGATCAGACAGAAATTGGCAGAGTTACGGGAAATTTAATAACTATTGGAGACTATAAAGACTGGAGCTTGCGAGCACGATAACTTGAGTAAATGTGAATGGATTTCGATGAAATTTTGCTATGCTGCTTTATATTAATAAGATCGCGGACACGTTCGCAAGTGGTCTCATTCAGAAAAGAACTGGCAGAGTAACTACCAATTGGAGAATACAAGATGGCCGATCATGGCCACTGAATTGCTGAGACGAGACATTTTCGACTTTTTTTCAAGATTATCTGCAGCAATTCGCTTCTTTAAATGTACAAATATTCCTTATGAGGTTTCAAACAAATGTTCTTACTTTTTGTGCCGATCAGAAAATGCAAGATGGTCACCCTGACGTCTCATTGACTGAGATGTTTTTGACCGCTCCCCAAGAAAGCTACACCGATTGTCTTCTAACTTAGTAGAAGTGTTCCTAAATATGAGGTTTCGACCAAGTTTATTACTTTTCATGCTGATTGTAAAATTCCAGATTGCCACCCTGGCCTGTGATTGGCTAGGACATTTAAAACTTCATCTGTACATTATCCATTTAACGCATCATCTTATTAATCTATACAGCATGTGTATGCCCTGTCACCAGGTTAGTATGGGTGTATGCCCTCTCTCCAAAGCAACTATGTGCCAATCAAAAAAAAAAAAAACATGCTACAATTTGAGCACTTCCTAATTTGCATGTTTACACACCTGTTGAGGTCGATTTGTTCCCCATAAAATCTCTTGATCATTATATGCTATTGAGGCGATTGATTCACGAGGAGCATCTTCTATTCCCAAGCCTTATGCATTGGAGGCAAAGTCTCCGATGTTATCTTCGAACGTCGATGCGTAGAACTAGACTCCCATCTTCTCTGTAAGTGATAAAAATCCACTTTGAAAGTTTGCGAAAAAGACGATGTCGTGGTACTAGGCAGGGCTGGTCTGTTTGAATATAAATGAATATAGAGTCAAACCTAAAACAAAGTGAATTCTTTGTATAATTTTAAAATACACTCCACCCAAAGATTCCCAACATCTTTTAATTTTGAAAACCAACTGGAACATAATTGAATCTTCAGCGAAGCTCAGGAGGCACGGTAGTCTAGTGCTACATGTAGGACGCCGGGTTCGTGACCAAAGGGTTGCGGGTTCGAGTCTCGGCACGGCACTGTGTTGTATCTTTGAGCAAAATAAGTTTCTCCACTTGTTCCAGTCTGCGCAGCTGTAAATGAGTACGTGGTTGGGCAGTGCTAGATGCCGTAAGATGCAAGCTACCTACTCATGCCTCTTCTGCACAATACGGTCCCTTCAAATCTGCATAAAAGATATAAGCAAATTGTGTTCCTGTACACGCTTCACACACGTTTTGTCATCGACCAATGTAGTATTTCTGATAGCATTTAAAAAGAAAGCAATACGCAGTATGGTGGTGAAATTAGCAACAAAGCACTCGGAATCAGCAAAAACCGCTGCTTCCTTAAACTTAACAAAAAAGATTCCCTTGTAGCAAGGCGATTCTATTTGCTAAACCATCGTTTGGAGGTCACACAGGAAGTTGCTAAGAATGATTGTCCAACCTATAATGCATAAAAAGTTATCAACGTTCAAACCTTCTACCATCGAGGTATGAACGAACTATTATCGTTTGTCGCTCCCGGTGGTTATTCGACAAACTAGTTCATTGTCAATTGGCCGCTAAATCTTGCTGCTTAAAGCAAGTCTGTTGTTCACTTTCGCCATTACTGCGTTTCTTCATTGAACTTCTTTCTCCTATGCTCAATAAATTTGATAATTTGTATGCAGGAATAGATGTTGAGCATATATTACCGGTTAACATGGTATTTTTAGGGGATTCTATTCCTAAGGTGGGGTCAACATTTGGCCCCCACTTTGATTTCTTTTTTCTTTTGCCATATGTAGATACATAAAAACGATCAATAACTGCACAAATGATTATTCATAATTTCTACTGGTAACCGTAGTAGACCTCCTTGCATAAAACCAGGTTGAATGACGGGGTTATCCTGAAAAAATGAAAGATAAATGTCACAGGCGAATGTTATTTTGAAAATAAATTATTATAGTGTATAATGTATAAAATTACTGTTATTTTGATACTAAATACGTCATATTGGTATACATAAAGTAAGCATAGTGATACTTTTAATAAGAAAAACATGCACAATTTTCACAGAATTAAAAATATAAACAAACTTGGAAATTTGCCTATATATAGTTATAATGGTAGTCTATATTTCAAACCTCTTTAAAAAACTTTCCATGTATATGTTCTGTCTATATAATCATTTTTATGTAATATCAAAACCGATAAATTACTCTTTTAGCATGCCTAACATGATCAATGCCCAATTTCACATAATCATGAAGATTTAACGAACAATGTTTATTATGATAAATACCGATACATTTTCTGTTTTTGTATCATGCCAAAACACTTCAATATGTTACGCATGTTTTAAAGTCATGTGCAGCAGTAATAACTCATGAATATTTTTTCTGCCATAGTAATAAAAAACAATAAAATAATCTTTATAGTAAAACTATTATACACTTTATTATACCCCCTTCATCAAAGTTAGGCGGTATACTAAAATCAGCTTGTCTGTCCGTCTGTCTGTCCGTAGAAAAAGTTTGTCCGGACAACTCCTTCTCAAGTAATGGACACATTTCAACAAAATCTTTCATATATGATAACTTCCACCTGAAGTTGTGTATCCAGGAATAAATTTTTCATTCTGAGCATTTTTTTCACAGAGATATGGCCCTTTGTTGTAAAATCCTTGTCCGGACATGTCCTCCAAAACTAAGGTGTCGATTTCAACGAAATGTTTCAGATATGATAATTACCACCGGATGTTGTACATCCAGGTATTATTTTTTCAATCTGACCCTTGTTTACGTAGTAATGGTCCTTTGTTGAAAAAGACTTGTTCTGACAACTCCTTCAAAACTATTGGTCTAATTCCGACGGAAGTTTACAGATATGGTAACTGCCCACTGACATTGTGCATCTAAGTCATTCCGACCGTTTAAGAAGGAGTTTTGGCCCTTTGTTGAAAAATGTTTTTGTCTGCCTCAGAAACTACTGGGCCGTTTTCAATGAAAGTTTACAGATATGGTTATTACCCTCGTGCATCAGGATAGTATTTTTTCATTTCGACCCTTTTTAAGGAGATATGGCCTTTGGTTAGAAATCTGTGTCTTGCCAACTCCTTCTTAACTACGAAGATGATTTCAGCAAAACTGGTTCATCTGGGTATGTTCGGTATGTTTTGGTATGGGAAGGGAGTACAAGAAGTATGTCAGTGACCTATATACTTTTAAAAATAAACATTGGTGGGAGACTATGGATTGCTTTGCAATGCTTTGCCTTAGTTATCCTTTAGCTTTCAGTTCAGGTTTATATAGGAGAGGGGGGTGATTAGTTAGCCTTTGGCTTACAGTTCTAGTTATTATTTTATTTTGCCCATTGCCCACTCATTAAACAAATTATTTTACATCGTTAACTCTAAACAAATTAAGCAAGGAAAGAATTCCTTGTCTGACTCCCCATACAAAAAAGTATTTTAGCACATTTTATTTTGTGACCTTAAACGAAACACAAGTTAAAGGAAAAGTGGAAAGAAAGCTTCGATTTTCTTGTTTTGAATTAAAAGTGTTATATGAAAAATTTACTGGTTGTCATTTTTTTTGAAATTCCTGATGTTGAAAGATAATATTAGTAGCCAACTTTAAAGCAAGTAACGACTCGTTTTAGAACTTTCTAAATAAACGTGTCAAAAATGGGAATTTTCTCGTTAGTAAAGAAATTTCACATATTATTCTGCTTAAATCTTCCATGAAAAGAACATTCTTTCTTGAAATAGTGTAATATTTGGTATCAAAATAACAGTTGTCATTGATCTTAACTAAGCTGGATAAATCTAATTTTTACTTGCGCAATCAATCTGAAGATTTAAAGATGGACGTTACCAGCCGGTGGCCGGTGACTGTTCATCTCTCCAATTCTTTATGTTCCTGTCTTAGTAATGGGGCGGATTGACAAATGTCGCAATTACTTCTTTGATTATACATATTCATATTCATATTTATATTTATATTATATCAACACCAGAATGTGTAGAATCCTCACTGTTCAGTAAATAAAGGGGAAAACGAATACGTAGGACTTTAATTTCATCTTTGGATTGTTATTACATAAAAACATTGTGATGTCATCAAGAATATTTTAGTATTTACAATCCTGACGTCATTTATGTTATAACTTATAACGTTTCCGTTTTACAATTATCAGTGTTTCTTGTATGTATGTATGTATGTATGTATGTATGTATGTATGTATGTATGTATGTATGTATGTATGTATGCATGCATGTATGATATTTAATCAGAAGATAAGAAAATCACATTTGCTTATTATCATAAGACATGGCATGCTTTCTTGTTGCGGAATGAAAAAAAACATATTCTTGAACCCCGTTGGTATATCTGTAAAATGTTTTAATGACCATGTTCAATTGAACCCTTCCCGTTTTTTTCTGCAGATACCCTGACCCGACTTGTAGGTGGTCCTAATCAGTACGAGGGCCGACTAGAGGTTTATCATGATGGTCAATGGGGCTCTGTCTGTATTCAACGATGGGACATATTTGTGTTAAATGCTCACGTAGCATGCAGACAACTCGGTAACACGTAAGTTGGTTTTAATATAAAAAAGAAAGATATTCGTAAACGGTCTGCTCCTTGATATAATTATTATATCATAAATTATCAAATGTATTATTGTGAACTGAAAAATTTATTTCAACAATAAGTGTTATTCGAAGTTTTAAATATGAAAGGGTTGCGATCTGTATTAAAGGTCTGTACAAAATATATAGATTGAATTTAGACTATTGCAAAGTTAAGATTTGTTTGTTTATCTTAACATGTGGTAGCATGGTCTCTTGTTTACACAATGTGGTTATGTTTTTTTTTTTACCGAGCAGAATATATATAATAAAAAACACATTTGAATGCGGTGTGTTATAGGGGTGGTTCCTTTAGACCAGTTACTACCGCAGAGCGAGGTGAAGGACCGTTTTGGATGGACGGCATTGAATGTGATTGTGACGAAATTAATTTACATGATTGTAATTTCAAAGGATGGGGAGATGGAAACTGTTCACATTCTACGAACGACGATGTATTTCTGCAGTGTAATCCAATCAAAGGTATGATATAATTATAAAGTTTCTTATATTCGATTTCCATACTGTACGGATTCTGCTTTCGAAATTATCTTTTCATTTCTAGTTGTTGGCTCTGTTCTATGTCTATTTTTAATGTTCCATCAATAGTTAAAAAATATTCGCTTGAATACATTTTTAATTAAAAACAGAAAATGTACAGGTTCTTATCACTGCAGAAGATACTCCTAGACTTCCCTTTCTAATGTTTTGAAATCGATTACAAGGTCAGTCAGATTAGCAGACAAGATATTAACATATGATCAATTGTTTAAAACACGTCAGTTCCTAACATAAATACACAAATATAAACAAATATCGGTATCTATTTCATTTCTACATGCATCACATGTATACGTTGTCTACAAAATCGCATATAGAACGTTACCAGGCATGGGAAGGCAACAACACATATACAACGGTACCAGGCATGGTAAGGAAACAACACATATAGCAATGAAAATTAGAGAAACTTTGAACGTTAACACAAAACTATACTTTTACTAAAAAAGCAATAACATTATAGTAAAGTGACACACGGCATATTTATATGCAAACCAATGCTAAATTAAAAGGGAACAAGAAAAGGAAACACGCATATAACTACCGGCATCGTGATGATGTTTTCGGACCAAGTACAATTTAAATCACGTGACTTGTAAATTTTGTGGAGTTGTTATTGATCTCAAGTAAGCTGGGTATTTTTCGGAAGTGTCCTACATTTCTTACAGTGTATTTCACACTGCAATGATAAGTCATATTGTATAAGACATGATTGCGAGACACATGTCTATTGGTTTAAACTGGATTTCTATCAATATGCGAACAAGTAATTTGACGGACGCAACGTAACCTTACATGCTTAGCCACTAATATCTTGCGTTCACTAAGTAAAATGTCTGTATCCAACGTTCGGATGGGATAAGAGCGTGCTTCTGTGAGTGATCATAAACTTCCAAACAAACAAGTGCTAGCAAAATAACTAGTCAGTAGTTACAGTATTAGACATAGACATATCCGCTCTTAGGTTAAATTAGTTTTATCCAGCATTTCATATACGTCAATGTCCGAACAATTTAAGACTAATGAACACATGATTGAAAACAGTATCTCCTATCTGCCATGAAAATAATCTTGCTTCTGAAACCGTTCGTGGCATGTCAGTATTGCGTTGACTTTAACCATCATTGGTAATGATTTTGTTTAAGGTGCGGTTCAGCTCGTTGATGGCAATAATCGTTATAGTGGGCGAGTACAAGTTTTTGCAACAGGAAAATGGATAACCCTATGCAATGATGAGTGGACAAACAACAATTTGAAAGTCACATGCCGGCAACTTGGAACGATGTAAGTGCATATATATATATATATATGGGGCAAAGAAGTAATTCCATCAGTGTGGACAAGTTTAGGTTGTCAAATTTTCGAAGCGATCCGCTCCTTTTTCAGTGAAACAGAACAGTTACATGTACATATCATCATATTACAAGAAGATAGAACTGATATACTATAATTGAAAATATAGCTATTATATAAAACCAATAGTCCCCTCGGCTAAAGACAGTCGAAGGCAGCAATTAAGCTGAGATATTTGATATCCATTATGTACATAAACAGGAATCGTTTTAACATATCTTTATTTGTTCAAACAAAGAGAAAAAAGAAGCGGCCAAGAAGTTTTCACCGAAGGTTATTATTACGAAGGAGATTTCGAATGCGAGGGCACTGAAGAATATTTATATAAATGTCGATATCGCGATCGTAAATGCTCATCTGATGAAAAGGTCAAGGCGACATGTGAAATTCCAGGTAAGGTTAAGGACGGTAGGAAAAGAAAGTCAAAACAGTTGGTTGTTTACTTGAACATTTAACCTTTTTCTTTTCAACAGATTAAATATATATAAAATCAGCAACACTACAATGGAGAATTATATTTAAAGGTTTTAACGATTCTGAAATGTTAGAAAATACCAACTAGAAGGACTGGATCATTTTTCATAGTAGTTGATATTGTGTATACATTTCTTACATATCTTGGTAGTAGTAACTACGAAATCGTTTTCCTCAAATTATCTTTAAATTAAACGACAAATCATGTACATGCAGTTACGAAAGAGTCGAATGTCGGAGTTTTCTATCATATACTTCTTACCCCTTTCTTAGTTAAGATATTTGTTTCTGAATATTGTAATATTACAAGGAGGTTTTAACTTCCCCAGAGTGCTACATGATATATCACAGACATTGTATGATTTAATTATACATGTACTATGTAGGTTGGTTTATATTTTCTATCTTATTTCGTAATAGTATCCCCCCGAAATGGAAGTTGTGATATAGACTTACAAGAGACCTGTGATACCACATTGAGCTGTCAGAATGTTAACGGATTTGGGAGATGTATCTGTGATACCGAATCGTTTTGGGATGAAAAAACAAACAAATGTAAAAAAAGTAAGTATATCGTACATATCAACAATGTACAATATGTTCCTGATACTGTACGAACGCTACGAAATTTTTTAATAGATATAGACAACAGAAAAGAAAAATAAATAAATAAATATCTCTCTACCTGTCTATGTCTGTGTGGATTTTGTGTATGTCAGTATTTGTTGTTTTCTTTAATAGCAGTAAAGGAATGTACAAAATTGATGATGATGATGATGATGATTTCTAAGTTTTTTGTTTTGTTTTGTATGCGTTTGAATATGTGCATATGTCATGTTTATATCAAAACACAATTATAAAAAAACATCAATGTACATTGTGTTCCTTATAATGTACGAACGCTACCAAAATATTTCATATATATATTTAACAGAGACAACAGAAAAGAAAAAATGCAATAACCTTGATGTCTTTTGTCATCGCTGGACACATGAAACTTGATTCAAACTTACTCATTTTTTGTAATGCTTGATTTAAGTATTCAGGCCAGTTCATGGCTGTATATTAATTTGAGTTAATATATTTCTTATTGCAAAGATTATTCATGAAACTACCTTTCTTTCTCAGCGGCATTCCGATATAAAGGAAAGTAGACAGGTTTATATAACTGAACGTGAATATTTTGAAACAGAAAATATTTGTAATTAAGCACACCTTTGATTTTGAGTGATACATAATTGTTAAATTTGGGATGTTTTCCAATCAGTTGACGTTTTTATTGACCATAGAAAGGCATTTATATTTTTTTTTTCTCGACAATTTTTGGGAGCGAATAATGTAAGCAAATTTAGCGAATGCACAGAAATCTCACCAATTTGGGAAGACTGATTATTAATTATATAAGTTTTAGATTTATACCCATAGGTAAAGTAAATATTAATAGTCGATGTCGAATCGTCGAAAGAGTCATTTTTTGTTAATCGAACTGGATTAATTAATTGATGGAAAGAAGATAGAAAAACGTGTAATATATGTCACGTTTAATTTTCAAAAATAAAGATTTAAAAAATTACAACACCGCTACAAAATTGAAAGGTAAATGACACCCCCGTTTTTAACGTTGGTATGCCCAAAGCTTAGTAACCACTGTAAGGAAGGATAAAACCAGAGAGAAGTCATTCCACACTCAATGTAATCTGCGGCTGTCATAATGATCTTGTTTCATTGTTGGCTAAGATTTACGAAGTCTAAGGTTGTTGGCGACCGACCAACTTTCCTGGATTTGACAGGATGTATAATGATCGGTGTGTCGCTATGCTGGAAAAACACTTTACTTTAGATCTCTTGACAATTAGGAACGTTTGCGTTGTTTAATGGTATATGGTGCCGAACATTTTGGTGTCTCCACAGTGTTTTGCTTCTGAGTGTCTTCGGATTTCGATTTTGTCGATATCTATCAATTCTAAACATATTTATGTCTTATGAGAGCGCAATTTACAAGTGTTTTTGCGTTGACACCAGGATAAATCATATCTACTTTACAGAGGTGTCGTACAATGAAGTATGTGATCCGAATGTTGATGACGTATGTACAAGTGACCTGTCATGTGAACTCGTAAAAGGATCCACATCATTCCAAAATACATGCATATGTCCTGAGAAAAATGACTTCTGGGACACTTTTAACAAGACCTGCCGTATAAGTAAGTATTTGCTTCCTGTAATTTAGTACTCAATACTTTCGAAATCTACCTTCTGAATAAAATTAATTGATTTCATATGCTGATTTCAACATGCTGCCAATTTATTTGAAAAGATAAACATATGCATCTGCTAGAATGCAATGAGATCCAGCATTGTTCGCCATAATAACGGCATCCCAAAAGTACATGGTGCGCTTTATACGCATAATCAGACCCCAAGCTACGTAATTGTGATTCACAGATTTTATTGTTTCATCTGGTAATACTTTAAACATTCATACATATCCACGGTTCTAATTGCTATATGCCTAATGAATTAAATTTTAATTATTTCCAAACAATTGTTAACAGGCTCTATCAACTTATATTATTCGTTCTTGTTGGCTTGGATGGTAGAGCGCATGGGGTTTTAAAGTTGGAGGAAACCGGAATACCCGGAGAAAACTCACGTGGTCGGGCAGGTGACGCGATATATTTTCACATCCGATCGGAGAATCGAACTCCAGCTGTCTTGGTGAAAGGCGAGTGTGCTATCCACTCCACCACCTGACCACCCAATCGCTACATACTCTCCATCTTTTTTGTTCATTCCTCCTCATTCGTCATCTGCCATTTCACATGCATTCTAATCCGAAAACGTTATTAGCTCACGAAGGCCTATGCATGGAAAGAGTTATTGATTCATTGTTGTTAACGAATCCATGTTATATTTATGTCGAATGTGTCACTAACATATATCGATTGTATACACTGTTTCGTACTCCAAATGTTAAAACTATATTGCAAATGTGTTTTGTGATATTACATCCGTTTTTAAATTAAATTAACTCTTTTCGCGGCTTCCATTTTCAAATTAAATTTACACTTTTTCGCGGCATGCGCCTTGGGGATATTCTTTACTTTGTACAATAATTATCAATTTTTACAACTAATGCTATTTTGTTTATTTATATTATATTAATTACACCATATTATATTCAACAGAGAAATTTTACGCTGAAGTGTGTGATCCGACTGTTGACGACGTATGCACGAGTGACCTGTCTTGTGAACCTATAAACGGAACATCGCTTAATAAATGTATTTGCCCAGAAGAAGACGACTTCTGGGATTCTTCGTACAGGGCATGTCGTAGAAGTGAGTAAATATTTCGTAAATGAATCCCTCTGCCTAGTTTAACATTTGATCTTTTAATTCACAGAATGATATAATATATTGTTGATTGGTATAAACAGATGTGTGAATGACTTTACTACACCAGTTTTGGAGGAGAAAAATAAGTCTTTTCTAAAGGTTGACGTTGTCTTCATATTGCTGGCATATACGTTTGACTGTATGATGTTATCTTATCTGACAGTACCTGACATATGCATATCATGTTTGATGTTTGAACATAATGACATATATCAATGTCTATGTAAAGTGGACATTTCTTCAACACTCCTACATTTAATCTAACAGGGAATGTTGTAGAAACACTAGTCGACCGTTTGCTTCATCCAAAGTTTTACAAATAAAAGAGAATATTGAAGTGCAAAAAAAAACCCAGGACAAAATATGAACGTGTTGTATATGCAGCAAACTGAAAAAAAATCTGTGTTTATAAGACTAGGTGTTCCGGAAGGGATTCATCTCCTACGCATTTAGAACAAATCATTGTAATATCATGTATAAGTGATAACGGGTTATTGCTAACGAAACAATTAAGCCTGCTTATAAGCATAATTAAAGACAATGACATTCATTTCGCACAACAGTATTTCCCGGTGAAATCATAATGGCGAATGAAGTTTCTAAACCTATAAAAATAGAATCGGTAATATCTATATTCGAAAAAAAGACAATTTCATGTACGTTGCAGCTACCTGTAAATTTCATTCCCATTCCTATATATTAATATGAACCGCTTTGCATAAAATTCAATGCCTTAGTAGAGTTCACACAAAAATGCAACACGAACAAAAGACACGTTGGTCTATTGTTGGTGACAGGGACAGGTTTGCAAGGGATATATCTCGCAGACAAGTTGAACATCAGCGATGCTATCTCCAACTGTGAAAGTAAGTATAAAGGACGGTTGGCAACAGAGGAACATCTTCGACAGATATTCTCGAACTGCACGGACTACGCCGACGATACTTGGCTCATAAGGATAGAATATCCTGCTACAGGTACGATATGGTTGAAGTGATTAGAAACGAGTTTGAATAACAAATTTGTAACAAACACAAATACAATTATAAGTGTAACAAAATGGTTATGAATTCGATGTATGATTGGCTCTTATCTCAATTCTTTTAAGGAATATCGTATTTTATGATATATATACATTCTTGTGTCTCTAATTTTCCATAAAAGAACAATTATATAGCTAATTCATAATATACATAATATCTATAATCTTCCGTCTATAAATTTCCAGAAAAGCAATTGGACAGTTGTGCTATATTATACAGTGATGGTGAATTGAAAACTAAAAACTGTACTGGCAGAAGGGCGTCTGTTTGTATGACAAAAAGTAGGTGGGGTTATGATATTGATTCCATGAATCTGAAACTATACCCGGAATCTTGAGGCAATGCAGAATTAACTTTCCCCCCTTTTTTTGTCAGTACCATTTAAAAAACTGCCTGTTCCGATCACTGTAAACATTTGTCAGTTTATTAAAAACTTGAACTAAATTCCGATTTTAATATGCATTTTCCAAAATATTTGTTAACATGCTAAGTCTTCTCCTGTGGTATAATTTTATCTTGATCATTGACAACATATTCTGATTTACATGATACAAAACCGATGTATCAAAGTCAACATAATTTATTGTTTTTTTTTTAGATACTATCCAATATGAATACTTCATTAAGATGTCTCTTTTGAGATATTTTGCAATACACTTTAACCATAATATTCGTTTCACGAACAACAGAACAGTTTCCGTAAAATATTTAAAAGTACGCACCCGTAAGAGGTTTAAGTAATAGCTTCACATTTGTATCAATATCTTAATGTGTTACTAACTTGTGAACTGTGTTAGCCTGTACAATGTCAAAATCTTTATTTTTCCCCAGAAAACAACAAAAATGATCTGTCATGTTTTGGATTTCCAACATTGCCGCAAAAAGCCACTTCGAGTTCTGGTAAGAGTAAAGGACTGTTTTCATACATTTAAAACAAGGAAAACATAAAATATCATTATTACGCAACTTATGTTATTTTTGATGTATAAAGCAGGACATTTTAAATAAAAAGTGTTCCCCCTTTTTTAGTGACGTGTTTAATGACAGTTGTTCTCTGTAGCAGGTTTAATTGGTGGCGTCGTAGCTGTTCTCATAATCCTAGCTGTTGTGGTGATGCTTGTAATTGGATTGCTTTATCGACGAAGGTATAAAACGTTGGCATATATCTGCATCTATTATATCGGCATTGCCTTATCTTGGCTAAGTCAATTTAAAAGTATAACATGAAAATGTGAAAAGTATTTATAATTACTAGGTAAACCACCAAAACTTACACTCGTTTATACAGGTCATTAAGTAAGAAGTAAAATCAAGAATGGTAATTTTATTTAAATGTAAGTCATATTATTTACACATAGATATAATAATCCTTTTTCAGAAAAAAGGGATGCAACAAAGACAGCGATATGGTAGACAATCCGTCGTATGAACTATCCGGCACTGCCAATGGGAGTGCGTTGAAACCCGATATTCGATTATCATCTAACCCGGAGACTCGACCAGTAGAGGATTATGACTATGCGATGGGAACAGACAATAGAGATGAGCAGGATTGTAATCACTCTAATATATATGCCAATGATATGACAACCGGACAAGTTAACCAGGGATATAATTCCTCGAATTGTCCTCCTGACGACAAACCGCGAGGGAACTCGGTGGAGAACTCGTTCACCTATATGTTAACCGAAACACTTGATGATCCGTCACCAAACACTGACGATCTACCGGATGAGGAATATAACACCTTTTCGGACCAATCAGCTGATCTGCCGCCTACTGATACGTATGACCATGTTAACGATGTGCCAGAGGATGGCTACGATCAGTTCCAGCTGAAATCAAGTGAACGATCTAACTTTGAACACGATGATGAAACCGGATATATGCAGTCCAGCTTTCCAGGATGACTACAGCGAGTTTGATAATATTTAAATGTGTTGGTGTTGATGTGCATTTATATGTTAGTTGTGTAAAACTTTATAAAATAATCTAAATTTTAAAAAGATCATTTGAATAGAAAGTAAAATGTTTAAACTGATTTCGTTATATGAACATTGTAGTTGTTGCATATACTTTCTATCGACCCAATACATATAAATATCTACATATAGTTTATTACGCTGTATGACTTATGTGATTAACTGGATCCCTCTGAAACGTTTGTTGTTCAATGTTAGCGCCTTCTACACTTGTCGAATGTTTTAAGTTCATAAGTGTACACTTTGAATACACAAATATGTCACCTTATTCTCTATTGTATCATATTCTCAAGTTTAGCGTTACTAATGACGGTGTCAAACACGGAATAATAACTCAAATTCCTCGTTCAAATACCTCTGGTGCCAGGAAATGGGTTCATATTAAAGAATAAAGACACTTGATACAAGGAAAATAAATTTAAAATTTAGGGAAATATGACGCCATTGTCCTTGGACTTGTTAGCATGTGCTCCTTGCCAGCGTGTCAATATGATAGTTGCGATTTTATTGACTAGTCATTTTTTTTTATGTCAGTGATTGGTTACAAATTTCGAACAATGCATGTAACTTGCATTTCATTTCAGATTTTTTTTCTTTTCTTCATTGTTACGCTTTAACTATAAGACGTTGCAATGTATCAAATTTGTTTTTGTTAACTCTGACGTTCTCGGTCTTATGAGGGATACTCGTCACTTGAATTCAAGAAGGCGGGCTTGCTTGCTTCATAAATTTGGATAATATGACTATTTCTTATCAAGATTGAATTTTCATTCCTACTGTAAATATATTCTAACTATTATTGATTGTCTTGCTTGGTATTTCTATGTTCTGGCTTTAACTTACTTTGTTAGTACAAAAGTGCAAATCAAGCAAAGTTATTATTGTTGAGACTTGATTTGACATTGATTTACTATATCGTTACTCATAGATACATACATGTACATGTTAATTTCATTTACATGTAATACGTAACTGGTACCGGACATGTTGTTTTCGTTATTTATCACCTTTAAATTGAAAAGAAACGTATGCGATATATAGTCAGATCATTGAGCGCATATAACTTTGTGCTTTAATTCTTGTTTTAATTTTGTTGTTAAAAGTATAAGTTAAAATACGTGTAGATTGGTGTACCGCATTCCACCTCTACTAGCAGTTTTACTAACAGTATGCATTAGCACCTGACGTAAGAAGGTCACAGTTAGTCGTGTGTTTTGTTTACATTGTGTACATTGACGATGTTAGTATTCTTTTAATATATAAATATATGATAAATATATTTGTTATTCTTTTGCCATCTTCTTTAGGATGGATTGCCTCTATACGCAAATGAAGCTGAATTAACAAGGTGTGTATATGTTAAATATGTCCTTTTACAACAGCTAAGGTCATTTAAGAACGTGCCACCATGTATACTTGCATTTGTGTACGTGTGCTGGAGGCGGGGTTTGTTGTTGTTATTACCTCCTTGTGATTTTGCGGATCCGATGCCAACTTTATAATTCTATCTCACTGAAATACCATGCCGAAAGCATCCAACACAGCATTCCGCCCAGTCAGATTATACTGAAAACGGGTGAAACAGTTGTTGCCATTACCCCAAATGCCAAACGTTAATAAGAATAACAACTACCATTTTCAAGGACAGAACCCATTGCCTTCCTTACCTGGGCGAACATTTAACATTAAAACCAAACGTTAGGTATGGACAAGCAAGGCGCAGAAATGTAAATGTATTTGAACAGTAGAGAAATATATCAAATTCAAAATGTTGCAATGAGATTTATTTTGGTCGTTTTGTGTCCGCAAATAGAGGGCAAAAAAGCAAATCCCCAAATCTGAGGGGGTCCTACATTAGTTGCCTCTTACATGCAGTAGGTAACAGCAGGTGTATTCTTTATCGATCTCCGACCTGCAGTGGTGATGTCAAGGATATTATACATATTGTCCTATAACTCGAAAGGCCTGTTTTTGCATTTCGTCTCTTCTTTTGTTATTTTAGATACCGAAATTATAACGTATAGCATGAGGTTATATATTTTTCTGTGACGAACTGTTTTAAGGGATATCATATTTGTTATTCTATCTTCCATAAGCTTTTCTTTTTACGTTTCAAATGAATACCATAACTCACAAACACAATCTTGTACATGTATAACTTCCACTTTCAAGTAGTTAAATATTGTATATAGAAATGAATTAAAAAAATATATATATATTTTAGAATGCAATATATTATGTTGGAAAAACAAGGATTATCGTCTACATTTGTAGTTTGTTTAGACACTGGCAATGTAGTATCGAAGCTGTCGATATCTGTTATATAATGTATGTGTTAATGCGCCTTCGTTAACAGTGTGTCTATTTCTTGTGCTTTTGAAAGTTAATAGTATATCAAATTTGAATTAGTACGTTGACCATGTATCGATATCACTGTTAATGTCCATGCTGTTATCACACGATGTATGACGTCTATCTTAGAACAATGTAGTATATATATTAGGGTTGGCAAACTGGTAAAATGTTGGTTACCGGTTACTCGAACAATCTTCCGATTGAGTAACCGGTTAATAGGACAATTTGGTAATCAAACAATTAACAATGACATTGCGCTATAGTTTGAGAAAATGTTCTAAGTACACCACAAACATACAAATATATATTAGTCAACATGATAGTTTACTCGCGTGTTTCAAGCTAAACGCAGCAAAATAGCTTCATGTAACGTCAGTAGGTATATTTCGTGGACAACAAATGTCGGAATGAATACAGTAAGACGTGATTCAATTACAGTTATCTCTACTCGAAATCGTACGCGGTAATATTGTTCTTTAGAACAAAATTTGGTCGACAAACGTTTTAATACATGCTTGCTCATTCAGATTCAGGTTACTTTTCAGATTAGCTTTACATCTCGCATGTAAAAGCGAGTTCTACCTCAAACAGTTGATTCCTTTTGAAATATTTTCAGCTTTTTTATAGTGTTTGTCAATCTTTATCAATTTTTACAATAGAGTATAAAAACAACACTAACATGTCAGACTGAACACTGTTTTAATTACTAACCTGTCCGATTTTTGTCGCATCTAAAGGTCTAAGCCAGAGAAACAAGGGGTTTCCCATAGGGGACAATAAATGTCCGACTATTCGATCATTGCTTTTGGTAACCGGTTCGTGATTTTCCAACCGAGTAACCGGTTAACCGGTTCACCGTTGACAATTCTAATATATATATATAATTATATGCATGTGTCATTTGTTCGTTGTTATAACATGTTGTTATTACCAACGCGTACGTACTATCATAATTATATACATAACAATAAATGCTTTTGATATGTTAATAAAATAAACTTATAAATTCCTGTTTTTATCTCTTTTAAAATGAATTTAAGATTTAATTAAATGTAATAAGGACTGTTCAAACTAATAAATAGTAACACAGCTCATAGTATTCGGTTGACAGGTTTAATTATAATCTAATAAAAACAGCATCCGTAGAGTAACACAAAGTAATTATTTTCAAGTGTATTCCCCATTTCTCTTTATCCCTTTTAAAGGTTAGGGTCGAAATTCTCTGACTGTTTTAAAATTCAGCAAATCTACACATATTTTACCTAATGGAAAATAATGTGTTCAAATTGATGAGTCTTCAGGATAGTACCTAGCAGTTAAATGCTGATGATTGTGTGATTTGTGATAGTATGGAGATTGTTTTATTTGTTTAATTGTATCTCAGATATCTTGGAAATCCTATAGATAATGAAATGTCTTTTCATGAAAAAATGTTTTCATACGGATCCAAATAACCTTTAGTACAAGAAAATTTATATTTGAATTTGTATTTCTAAATTTAAAAATGTTCATTTCAAAACTGAAATATAGAAGAAGAGAAACAATAATCTCGGTGTCGCCATTTATAATTAAACAATATTTCAGGTTAATTATATTTGAATGTAAGTTAAATCAGTTGAATAATAAGCTCATTGTTTCCCTCTTATCGGGGAAAGAATATGTAACTTTATGTTAACAGCATCGTAAAGACAACAGTGGTAAGATTGTCCCTTCATCGTTTGAATATTTAAAAGAAGGATAGAAGAAACCTAAAAAGACAAAACATACATCCCTACTTCAATATGCTTTCTTGAAACAGACATTATTAA